CAAAACTTTTTTATTTTTAACTTTTTCTTAATGAAACTTTTACTAACGCATTTGTGAGATTTTTCTGATTAAAATGAGACCAAACACGATATAGGTTAAATGATATTTATAAACAATAGTAATAGAATAAACAACATAGAATTGACACCACGACTGAATATAAATGATGTGTACGGACGCAGAATCGACATGTCGGCTGAATACAAAACATGTGTACGGACGCAGAATCGACACCTCGCTTGGATAAATGCAACATTAAATGCCCAGAATCGCCACCTTGCCTGGATAAATGAAACCTTTGAAACCAGAGCCGACACCGCGACTGGTTTTGATTTCGATCTCTGTTGCTTTTCGCCAACCTTTAACATCAATTTTAGCAAGTAATTATAATTGAAACTATATCGTGTTTGGTACCATTTTAATCAGAAAAATTTCACCAACGTTAGTAAAAGTTTCAATAAAAAAAAGTCAAAAATAAAAAAGTTTTATAGTTGAATTAGTATTAGTCACACCGATACGTTTCGGCTCTTTCCTTTCATCATCGGACCTCTCTCTTTCCGCCACTGTCTGTCCCTTTCTACGTTCACGCTTGGTTGGTCGTCGCGTGTAACCCGAGATTCGACACCTTGCTTGGATAAATGCAACCACTGGGTCCCAATCTTGGTTGCATTTATCCAGGTTTTACTGTAAATAAATATATATACGTAATATGTAATACTAGATAATACTATAACGTACACTACACTATAAACAACACAAAACAAAACTTAAGGAAATAAAACAAAAGATGAAATAGTAAATAATATTTAAATATATAAAAGTTTCTTTGAAAAAACTGTTTCGAATGACTCTTGCTGCACTGTCTACTCTGCGATGGAACTGTTTCAACTGAATGCAGTCAGAAAACAGAAAATTTAGTCGAAGGCTTATCTGCAGCATAGCATAAACATTTCAAATGGCTATAATCTAAACATTTCTTTCAAAGGGGCTCCTAGCATTCAAGAGGAGGCCCGTCGAAAGCGAACGTGCACGGAGCACGAGCGCTGCATTTCTCAACGACCATTTCTAACTAAATTAGCTATAAAACGTCAATCCGGACGAATCCGGAACCAATTCCTTTTGGATCGTAAGCACAAACTTTTACCAATTGTAATGAAATCTTATATGATTGAATTATTGCTTATTTTCAAATATTAATAACTATATAAATATTTATGATGAAAAGGTAAAACCTGTTACCTATGTAGCATATACCTACCTGAAAATCTTCCACAATGCAAGAATTTACACAACTTTCCTAAAACATGTAAAAATTGCTAAAAAATGAATGACGTTTCAGACAATGATTAAGACTAATACACATGGCATAAAATTTCCTTACTTTACACTGCTTTATGAGTGCACAAATGAAAAAACGAACATTGGTACATTGTCCCTCACACATTCAACTTTATTAAGCAGTAAAAATGTCACATTTTGCGTGAAATTTTTGAAATCGACTTTTTTCCGGCTTTTTGGGCCAAATACTTCACTGTGCACCGCGACAAGTTCGATGAAACTCAGTGTACATACATACTGAAAATGAAATCGGTGATGTAGAAACAAGTGAAATCTTTAGACTTACTTCGGTTTTATTCTGTTTTTTGTTTCACAATATAAATTAAAGGTCGTGAAATGCTGTGATTTCAAACATGTTTAACTATTTGCAGTTCATAACGCGGGTATACTTCCGAAAGGTCCCATCAACCCAGGACAACCAAACTTCGAATTTATAGTAATTGAGAGACGAGAAATCGAATGAGACCATTTTCAGAACTGGCAAATAAACCGTTCTCGAGATATATAGGGTATTCTAAAAGTGCGGAAATCCCCTATTACCTTGATAAGAACGCATTTTCACGGAAAATGACTAACCTAACCTAGGTTAGGGTTAGGGTTAAGGTTAGGGTTAGGTTAGTCATTTGGCGTGGAAATGCGTTTTTATCAAGATAATAGGGGGTTTCCGCATTTTTAGAATAGCCTGTATAACTCGAGAACGGTTTATTTGCCAGTTCTGGAAATGGTCTCATTCGATTTCTCGTCCCTCAATTACTATAAATCCGAAGTTTGGTTGTCCTGGAATGATGGGGCTTTTCGGAAGTTTCCCCCATAACGCTAATGATTTCAATAAAATCTTCAGCATGTATATAATTTACTTAAATCTACAAAAAGTACTTATTGTTTCAATTTTCATTACAGGCTGCAATAAAAAAATTGTTGTTAAAAGCAACTTTAAATATCGTCTTCATGATTCCATGTCCTTATTCATACTTAATTATTGTAGGTGTACACCGAGTTGCATTGAACTTGTCGCAGTGAAATTGGCCACGCATTCACTCACCGACGCGGCGTGAATGCGTTAGTGAATTTGTAGCCAACTTCACTGCGACAAGTTCAATGCAACTCACAATCAGTGTACGTGCGGCGCGCGCGCGTGTGCTCGGAACGTTACCGGGTGTAAGTGTAATGTGTATACTATATATACATTGTCGAATCACATCCGATTGATGTAAGGAAAATGATGAAAGCAATTTTGAAAAACTTCCTATTCGGAACATAACATAGAAGATAGAAAAGTAAGAATAAAAGTAAAGTGCTTACAAATTTTTGTGAGAATTTAAAAAAGCTAATGAATGTTAATGAAAGTTAATGAAATTTAATGTTGAGAAGGTGAAGCAGAACAGCTGTAGTTGTAAGTCATGATTGTGGGAGATATTTGGAAGCCTAAAAATCCGGTACACTACACCTAAGCAACAATCAACTTCTTACAATTGATTCACATTTTAGATAAGAATCATTCGTGAATACAGGATCTACCATTTATCTCGGAACCCGTGCGCGCGTGAACTCATAAATGTGGCATAATCGGCGATACTCTGGTCCGAAATTCGATTCGGGATACAAGTATGTTTTTCTCTCTGCCGAGCCGAGCCGAGCCGACTCGAAGTTCCACTGCTCGTTGTGCATACTTGTATCCCGAATCGAATCTCGGACCAGAGTTCGGTCGATTACCAACTTAACTATAGGGATTCTTACATCGCTCCCCACAGCTCTCTACATGACATTATACTTTCAGCAATGGTTTGCAGAGGGCGCATATATCGAATTTTAGCGCCGTTGCCACATTTATGAGTTCGCGCGCGCACGATTTCCGAGATAAATGGTAGATCCTGTACTAGCTAAATAAAGCCATTGACGAATTGTCCGTATCTCAAAAAAAGACGCTCGAGGCAATACATATCTATACATATCACGACGACGTCGTGGTCAGTTTCCTCATTTCACACGAGTCAAATTAATAGATGTGATCACTTCTACCAATAATATGCTACGGCTAAAAATACGTATGAGCTGGTGTGGAACACGACCAACAACCAGTCTGTGGTACGGGTAATAACTACTATGTGCTGTGCATTTATGAGAAGGCACGTGGCTGGAATGTGGGTCTTATTGGCTGAGTTCTGTAAAACCCACCTCTCTCTAATGCAATTGCGGAAAATAATGGGTTACGCAGTTTCGTCATTTGTCGAAACTGTCACATCTACAAATACATTGATACACGTCTATTGAAAATCAATCGATTAGCTGGGAGGTGCGATCGAAGTTTCCCCCTTGTCCCGGAATGATCCCACGTGTCATCTCCACTTCACGATTCTAAGGTTTTAAAATTCAAAAACTTCAAAATTCTTAAATTCTAAAACGCAAGATATTAAACATTTGACATTGTTAATAAAGCTGAGGGACCTGACTCATCTCAGAAAAAAGGTTTCAGAGTGAGATCACTCTTGTGATCTCGATTTACTACTTTTTTTTTTCATACATTTCAATGACAACAACAGTGAAGTGAACCGTGAATAATCAATAAAGATGAATTCAAAGCAATTCGAAATCAATTCAATGCTTAAACGTGTTACATGAGTTAACAGCTGTGTATAATAAAGCGGTCAGCCTTGGTCTGGCTAGCCATATTTGGCATGGATACTAGGCATCATCCTACGAACATTAACGTCACCAGTCCTATCTAACAACCGTGAAACTGTCAAGATTAAAGAAAAATAAGAAATAATGCTTATATGATGATTCTACCTTATTCTACAATAAACACGGACGAAATTCTTTTGAATAAAGGACAATACTTCTCATTTTATTCTTGAATCAAAATTCATATGCTCAAAAGGTTTAAGTATGTCAAATTTTATGAAAACTGATTAACATTTAATTATTGTCCTAGAAGATTGATCATAACCGTATGTTTAAATTCCTTGTGGATAAGTATATTATTTAATATTTTCCAGCCTCAATTTCAAAGGCTGTTTCCAAGGGCCTTACCAAAGGAAATATTTTGTCGAGTTCTTTATCATATTATAACTGCATAAAAATTAATGTATGTCAACTAATTAAATAAAATAATTATGATTATATAACTTTTGACCGTAGTTTTGGATCAGTTTCAAATTATTATTCTGGAATTTCTTGACAAAGAGCTCGAATTGACCACAATAAAATTATTGCATAATAATAGAACTATAGTCTAATAAATATACCAAATCAAATAAAATAAAATAAACTGAAAAGAAAAACAGGAAAGGTTATTTTTAATGTAATAAATTTTATAATTTTTTCTTTATATGAAAGATAAGATATTATTAAACGGGAGACATATCCAGAAACTTTTCTTGTTAGAGAATTATGTTTCTTTCTTTGCACAATTGGAAAATTATATATATTTTAGTTACTAATCTTTTTATACAAGAGTAACCTAAATCAAGTTCGTATTAATTGTTATGATACTGTAAGCAAAATCAAATAATTGTAACACAGTGATCACTTCACTGTGGACTATAGTCGTCTATAGTAGCAGAACGGTTAATTATTTAACTGATCAAATAATAGAAATAATTGATTGTTTTAAATACTGTCAAATATTTCTCAATATGAAAAGTAGAGTTATTCAAACTCACCGCTTCTACAAGTAGATTTCCCTCATTATCTGCTAGCATGTTGAAGGTTCTCAGTAATGGTATAACACCTTGATAAACGCAATCAATGTAGATGTCCATTCGTGCATCGGGTGGACTTTGATGCACTATGAAGATTATATCCTTCATTGGTAAATGAACATTTGAAAGATCCAGGTTAATGTGCTCGGCAGTTCGGTGACCATTTTCATCGATGTTCTCGAGGATTACTAAAAAATGTCTTTCTTTTAATTACAAAACATCGAGTATTAAGCTTATAATTAAAATAACGGTGAAATGGCCTAGGGGGAGCTTGGCTATCGAGAGTTCGGGAAAATCCCCGGTGGGCCGGAAGGGATTTTGGGCTTAATTAATTAAGATTGGAGCCCGTATTCTACAAGAGGGTCCGTGACATTACTAAATTCCTGATCAAAATTTCAAAAGTCCTAATCCACCTCTGATAATGACCAATTAACTTTTGAACGGTACAATTTTAACACATTTAGTCAGAGAGGAAAATCAAGGTCTTTCCCTGCATTCTGGACGAAAACCGAGTGTGATTGAGTTATAAAAACCGAGACTCCTTTAGGTCCTTCATTTTCCGTATAGCTATTGAACTGTTATCGTTGCCTACGATTTCACGTCTGACAGGCTTAACGGCAGGTCAGTACTTTTACTGACAAGGGAATGGTCAAAAGTGGATGGTAGAGTTGCTCGTCTAGACTATGTTTATTCGAAAGAGCATGAAACGAGGAGTTTATGGTGCAATTTTTTGGTGTCATTGGCAACGGGTTCAAAAGTTATGGGACTTTGAAATTTTCACATTTTTAAGTGCAATAAAGACAAAAAGAAATAAAAATAATTAAAATTAAAAAACTGAATGGATAATGTATAAAAGTATTCATGATGGAAAAATTAAAAATAGCACTTCAAAATCCCCTTACACACTTCTAGTTATTAAATCTGTGACAAAGGCCGTAATTTATTTAGAAATGGATAACCGCAAAATATAATCTAACGAGATTCGCTCTAGAGCCAACCCTTTCTCAGCCATTTCCGGTCAGAGCGGAAGTTGAAAGAAAAAATTTTTCGTTGAGATTTTCACCCATTAAACACAATGCCGCAAGAATTTTTTCGATAACTCTTACCGTTTGGTCTGCACAAAAATGACAGAAAGTCTAAATACTATAGCCCTCTTCTCAAGATTTTCAATCTTAGATACGAGTTGGCTAATAAAACTACAATAACTATATAATAAATGTGAAATTTATTTGTTAATAAAAACTCGATTTGATTTGACTAATTTTTCCAAGATGCATAGGACCCTAAGCGTCGGGTCCGAGGCAAGTGCCCCGCCGCGGCGCGCCGTCTGCCTCTACTTTACAATGTTAGAAGAAAAATGCTACTGAAGATTAGTAGTGTTATAATATCAACACGTTACTATGAGACCGGAAGTACTGATAGGCACTATTTCTTTCTGGAGGTGGGTCAGATCCTCCACTTTTGCTAATAAGAAGTATTAACCCTTGGACAGCGGACCATGAAGAGAGCCTAATTTTAATTTAACTTTGCATTTCATATTATATTCATTTTATAAATTTGACACTGTTTCTTTAAAAATTGTTCTTTTAATATGTACATGAAACCTTTGGTTTAAAAATTATACATTTAACGTTGAGTTAACGATTAACGACTCACGGTTGGGTTAACGGTTATGTGTCTAATACTGCTTAATTTTTGTCATTTATAATTCCACGTAATAAGAATATTATCTTATTTTTAGCTCGATTACACATTGCATTTTGGTCCAAATATTTATTTCTATTAAAATAAGATTTTACGAGGAGGCTTATTCCACATTTTGGGTTGCGCGTTCAGTCTTATACAGCAAAGTACGTGGGTGAATCAAATATAACCAGGAATTTTCATATTGCGTTTTGTAGAATTAAGTGTGCTGCGTATGATGTTGAGTCATTGTGGATGGAGGTGTCTGGAGTAGGAAAAAGCGTTGGTTGCATTCGCACTTCCGCTTTGTTAGTAAATAGTATCATGACTGAGCAGGAGGTACACCCGTCGGTTCCGCAGCACATAATCAACAAGTTTCTGACTCGGGAGGGTGAAAAATCAGCTAAAATTTTTAAGTCACATTGTTACCTGCGATGAAACATGGGTGCACCATTACACGCCTAAGTCAAAACATGCGAGCATGGAGTGGAGAAAAAGTGGGGAGGCAGCTTCGGTCAAAGCCAAAACTCGTCTGTCGCCTGGGAAAGTTCTTGCAACTGTTTTGTGGGACTTCCGAGGCGTATTGTTAATTAATTTTCTTCATGAAAGCCGTACGATCAATGCTGCCTACTTTTGCCAACTTCTTGCTGAGCCAAAACTTGCATCTCGACGGAAAAGACGGGATATGCCCATACGAGAAGTTCTTCTTCCACACGACAATGTACGACCGCATACAGGGTCTACCATTTATCTTGGAACCCGTGCACGCGTGAACTCATGAATGTGGCAATAGCGCCAATTTGGCATGATTGGCGATACTCTGGTCCAAGATTCGATTCGGGATACAAGTATGTTTGTCTTTCTGCCGATCGCGCCCGAGTTTTGTCAAGCCGAGTCGAGCCGACTCGAAATTCCATTGCTCGTCGTGCATACTCGTATCCCGAATCGAATCTCGGACCAGAGTTCGGTCGATTACCAACTTAACTCTAAGGATTCTTACATCGCTCCCCACAGCTTCTCTATATGACATTATACTTTCAGCAATGGTTTGCAGAGGGCGCATCTATCGAATTTTAGCGCTGTTGCCACATTCATGAGTTCGCGCGCGCACGGGTTCCGAGATGAATGGTAAACCCTGTACAGATGCATTGACTTCACAAAAATGGAAGAAAATGCATTGAACGGCATTGGACCACCCTCCTTATAGTCCAGATTTAAGCCCGTGTGATTATCACATGTTTGGACCATTAAAGGCGGAGTTGGGAGGACATCAATTCATCGACGATGATGGCGTGGAGGCGTTTGTGCGCAATTAGCTTACGACAAGCCCAACGCCTTTTTTCGATGACGGAATCAAAAAGTTGCCTATCCGTTGGGAAAAATGTGTAAATAAGGCAGGAGATTATGTAGAAAAATAAGATGTATTCAATTTCTGCTTTGGTGTTAAAATAAATTTAAAAAAAATAATTCCCGGTAATATTTGATCCACCCTCGTATCTAAATTGACGACTATGTTCTATTTAAATGAAATTTCTTACCTCGCTTCGATCGTCTGTCGAGCATCAACACTATTTTCGTTCTGAATTTTCCATATTTTACAGCAAAAAGGGTCTCCACCGCTGCTTCTGATGGTTTTTTCTTTGATTTGATGTTCGAAATAGCAATCACGAAGTCGTTGTCCCATGTTTCTCGAAGACTTGATGTTAACTCTGTAAGGAATTAATTGAAGAAGTTAAGTACATATTTTACAGTAAAGCTTCGAATGTTTCGACTCTCCCAAAATTAAAAAAGAAAATCTTTTACGTGTATAAAAATTGATAAGCTTTACCGTTCTAAAACTGTATTTTGTACAACATATTTTTCAAATTATGTTTTATCAATGCATAATTAGTTGACAATATCCAAAAATAGCCAACCTATATATTTCCGTTGTCGTCTGTCTATAGTTGCGAAATTTTGAGAACCACAATAGATAAAGACAAACGAACAACTGATGTGAAATCAAGATAAGCCAGAGACTCTGATAGGAACTTTTGAGACCGTAGCACTTCCGGTTTTGAAACCGGAAGCTGCACTTTTACCGGAAATGATCTGATCGACTCATGCCCAACATATAAAAAACGTAGACTTTAATGACAAACCAATATACCGAATCAGATTTGAGATATCCCTTACCGTTTTTGAGAAAACCGGTCATTTCTATACTTAAAAAAATGTCGGATAAAAAATCAATTTCGAGCTTTTGACCCGATTTTGTGTATTTGCTACGGTAAATTCCGAATCTAATATCAGAATTCGAATATCTTCTATAGTTTTTGGAAAAATGTGTGTGGCTATATGTTGCCAACCTTCAATGTATGTACGCATGCGCATTAATCCAGCGCTCATTGTTATTTTAAAGGGTATAGCAGGATAAGATGGTCAAAAGTGGCCTTGAGTCGATTTTATTGAGCTATACATCATTTTATAGCTTATAAAAAAAACTGTTGTACCTACACCAAGTTTCAACCCTGTATCTCAACCAAGAGGGTAGTTACTGGGTAAGAAAGAAAAACTGGTTTTTGCCCTATTTTCCCTATTTAATGATATTCAAAAAATCTGAAAAAATTCTAGAATATTTTAGATATGTATCTTTATGATTGTGAATTTTTTCAGATTTTTCAGTTGCAAATCCTAGGCATGAAAATCAAAAACACAAAAAAAGTGGGAAAATTCAGATTTCGGATAGAAGCTTTCGAGACACTAGATTTTTACTTTTACAGTAGTTACATATTAACATGACTGGTGTCCTCAATTTTTTCCAGATTTTTTGAATATCATTAAATAGGGAAAATAGGGTAAAAACTACTTTTTCTTTCTTACCCTGTAACTACACTCTCGGTTGAGATACAGGGTTGAAACTTGGTGTACAACAGTTTTTTTTATAAGCTATAAAATGATGTATAGCTCAATAAAATCGGCTCAAGGGCACTTTTAACCATCTTATCCTTTTATACCCTTTAATGTTTCAATTTTTGTAACAGATTCTTTAAAAAGAACCAATAAGAAAAAAAGTCATCATAACGTTTATTATAATATTTATAATACTTTTCTTAATATCTCCTATATACTTTGCAAGATACAAGGTAAATTGTTTTAAATGTGGCAAAACAACAGGAAGTCATTAATATGGTATCACCATTATTACTAACAAGGAACGATCCCGAACCCAGAAATTCAAAAAATTATGAAACTTTATGGAAATGTAGGGGATTTTCTCCTGATTAAAGCGCAGTTTTCGTTTATTGCCCGTTTTCAGTCTGAGGGGCATACAACATGCAACATTCTATAGAAACATAATTATATTAATACTATTACTATGTTGGAAAATGAATCTTTTAATTTTCTTGATATTCTCCTATAAAATGATTTATCTACACTACCATATTTAATCGTTATTTTTCTGCAGTGTGTACGCAATTTATCGAAAAATTTATTAAACTTCTCTATTTCTTTTGTACAGGAGCATCAGCTTTCAATTAAATAAATAACAGTACATAATAATAGTAATAAAGTAATTAAGGTACTAAAATGCTAAAGTATTAAATTATTGATTTAACAAACTGCTGAAGTGCCAAAGTACAAAAGTGATAAACTAATACATTACTAAATTATTAAACAACTAAAGTACTAAAGTATTACATACTTTGTGCTGGAAAAACTAAAAATACTAAATTTATATGTTTACTTCCACAATTGGCAATCATGAAAATAGTTGTTTCAAGTTAAACGACCGCAGAAAGGATTTGTCGTTCCAAGCATGCCATTACCGGATTTCTTGTCAACTTGTATGGGGACTGGTTTGCCATACCATAAACACGTTATGGGAACGTGCTGCAGGTACAATACCACTATACCTATAGTTTACCTCAATCGTTAACAATATTTGTTACAAAATAAATAAACAGTTAAAAAAAGGAACTAATTAGTGTTTAAAGTTATAATATTACAACATAGCTTCTACAAGTTATCTTTCAAAGTAATTATATTTAAAAAATTGGTGAATATCGCGTTATTTTTTTAATCATTTTTAAAATTTTTAATCATAAAAATGTATTATTGGTAGGAAATAAACGGTAATAAAGAAAAATGTGGCTTATAATTTTATATAACTCTTTTTTTCTCAAATTGGACTTGAGATTGTAGTATAATAATTATATAATTAACGATAGGTGCTATGAGAATAAATTTTTCAATAAATTCGTTGCTTTTTCTGTGGAAAGAGAATACTTTTATCACAGAAAGTTCTTCAGATTTAACAACTGAAGTAATTGTAATTTAAATCTTCAAATTTCAAAATTGAATGTAGATTTTAATAATTCAACAGCTATTCAACAAAACTGATTCGTTTACGTATGAAAATAAAAAAGTTGAATGTTGTTTTTTTTAAATCTTGGGATTGATGATTTTAAAACGTGAGCATATTTGAAACCTTAAATTAAAAAGTTCAGAACCAATACAATTGTGAGATAAAAATTAACTCTTCATTTCATGATTCTTTTCTAATTTTGAAAAGAAATAAAGGTTTAAACAATTAAATACATCTTTTTATTTTAAATATTTATTTCATATAAAAATAGGTTATATTGAAAATTGTTCACGTTATATGAAACAAAATTTATGATTACAAAACACAGAAGCACAAGAATTTCATAGTATATTACTTTATGTGATAAATTTACAACATAACGTAAGGATGGATTAAAATTAAAAATATCCAAACTCAAAATTGTTAAATCTTTCGATTTATTAACATATCAAATTAAAGAACCATTTTTAATAAAATTTCCAAACCACATGAAATTTTCGAATTCTTAAATTTCAGTTCAATTTTTACCAAATTTGTCAATATAATTATTCCATTGTTTTTAAACAAAAATTAATAATGTATTGACATAGTATTATTAAGTATCTTCTGTAACCTACCTGTATCAGGTGTGACGCTGCAACCGACACAAACCACAAAGAGGATCACGACAATGAACGTCATGAAAACGCGCATTTCGGATTACTATTTTTTTAACTTTTTATCGTATTTTGTAATTAATTTCGTACCATGCGAAAGCGATTTACCGGTTCGAATTTTTTCTCGCGTTTACGATTCTCGAAATGAATGCTGAGCCAATCTCGAAGAAATAAATAGTTCGCGGGACGTTGGCGTTCGTCGACTGAGACGAGGAAAAGCCTACAGACGACTTTATAACTCACCCACGAGAATTTCCGAGTACAGAGTCGTTGTCCGTGGCACATAGAACGAAAGGAATTGATGGATCTGAACTAATATCGACTTCGGTGCTTATTTATTTAATCATGCATGCGACAAATAATCGTTTAACGATCTTATTTTGTTTTAAGAATATTAAAGAGAATTTCTTCGAGGAAGGATTTGTTGAAATTTTGAAAAAAAGAACAAAAAAAAATATTATTCAATCGCTGCATGTGTGTCCTTTTTAAATGTTATTTTACTGGATATTCTCTTTTACTTATATTTTGAGGATGCCAATTTGCGATAAAGTGACCCTGATGGAAACAGAAACCGTGTAATGCCCAATAACTAGCCAGAAACCAGCCACTTTAAATAACCAGTTTTTGCATTTTATTGGAACGTTTCTTTTAATAGTCTTGCATCATTTAATATACTGTAGAAATATGTTACGTTTCAAACAGAAATTTTTATAACATTTTCCTCTTCTTTTATTTACTGACCGCATGTGATTTCGATATTGTATATAGTACATCCTGAAATGCCCCTTATCAAACGCAGAAACGGTCTTTGATGTGTGTAAGATAGTCTATCTTTTGGAGACACGATTCAGAATGCGCATAACAAATTTCATTCTTCGAATCAGCGTGGTTCCACGCCGCGAAATCACGTACAATGTGTAGACATATACAGGCTGTTTGACAACAGGTGAAACAAATTTTAGGAGATGGTTCTGGATGTCAAAATAAGACGAAAATCACGAATAACAAAATAGTGTTCACGGCTTCGTTTCTTAATTATTTGCGAGCGTCGAGGCCGAACTTCGAATTGCGCGTCGATAAAACAGTCAACGTATCATCGAAAATTAGACCGAACAGAAACTGATTTCAGCGCCACCTCAGTTATTGCATCCAACTAACGGCATGCTATTCTACGTCACTTTTCGCATACACCTAAATGTCACACGGATGCTACGATAGCTATATTACCCAAATAGCACACGATGTCTTAAAGACATCCATTTTACGACCATTTTAGGTCTGAACGTCTTACGACCTTACCTAGATATCTTTACGATATTTTGTCCCGAACGTCGTTAAGACATCTGAAATTCATGTCTTTAAGGGGGTAGACACGTCACGTGACCTCTCCGATTCGGGACGTCGGTATTACAGCAGTTTTTTCGTTGGGCCTGGTGGAGCCACTTGCGTGGTCTAGTATGAACTTGAAAGGTTTAATTCTCAGCTAGCGTGCGCGCAACACGATCTAGGAGGGCAACAGCGCCTCAAGTATTTTTACAAACACATTCAAACACTCCTCTCGCCAGAGACTTCACGATGATTCGCCTGAAGAACGAAAACGAAACATCGGCGCGTGATTAGAGTGAGATGTAGGGTGATCATGCTATCCTTCTTTCAATCTAAATGATAGAATTGTCCCGCTCCGATAAATTCTGACTGACTGAACGCGTGGATTTTATATAGCGCACCGTAGCACCCCTCGCTGCTGAAAAATATATGCCTACTCTGAAGAACCGAAGGAACGTGCAATCTGAGAAATTTGTTAGAAAAAGTTATTAACTCTTTAAATAAATGTTTTTTAATTAATAAAAATATACAGGATACGTCATGCAATTTCTGACGGGTTATATCTTCAATTTGATAAGAGATAGGAAAAGCTGTTTATGTAAAAGTTCAATGGTATGATAATGTCTATTTTTCTGTGATTTCATTTTTTCCGTGAATGCAACGATGCACTCAAAAAATGCTTATATGAGATCTTGAGCTGAATAAGGGCTCATTCGAAAGAGGAAGGTTCAATGAAGGAGGCTCAACAAATCGTTTTAGTCACAAAACTCCTATAGTTACCTAAAATGTACTTGGATTCAACGGGCGTATTTTCTCGATTTTTCCTCTACTTTGGACACTCATATTATTAGATATTAACAAAATTACGTTCAATCATGACCAGAGCGCGCTGCATTGAACCTTCCTCTTTCGAATGAGCCCTCACCCAGCCTCAAATATTCTCATATAAGGACGAAAAGCGAAAAATCCCGGACCCATTTTTATGCCCATTTTTGCCGGTAATGTCACCTCGCTGCATTACCCGTGTCTACCCCCTTAACAAGTCGGTCGCGCGAAGAACAAGTGAATCGGATGCCCATCATTTCTTTAATACATAAACCAGTCAACACGCGTTGGTAAAGATCTTCTATATACTTGAGGTCGCCATCGATATGAGCGAAGTCGTACCCGACAACTATTTTCCATTGTTCGTGAAATATCCGGACTACATCTAAATGTTCGAGGGAGATCGTTTCCTGATCGTTCAGAGTGAAGAGATGATATTTTTCGTCGTTGAGTTCGTTTGCGATTACCAAATTCGTAGCCATAATCGTCAGCAAAAGTGGGACAATCATGAATTTCCCGCTATGTTCCATGATCTGAAATTGATTGTTTAAAAATTTTGACGTTTGTTCTATGGTGAGTGGTTGGTTTTCCATATTCATTTATTCTGACGGAATGATTGTCTATCGTCTCGATGACCTCGAGGACCTCGCCATTTTTCTTCTAGTGGTTTAGCATTATAATATCGTATAAGGACGAGGTTACCTCTATGGATGGGTTCAAGGTGATCGTAGGATGTGGAAGGTTGTTGCGTTTGGAGATTATTAATTGTCTCGATTATTTTGTTTTCGTGCTGTAGCTTAAGGTTGTCGATTTGTTGCTGGAGGGTTAGCTATTCGTCCTGTTCGTCGAGGATGCTGTTAGGTTCGTAACCTAATTGCAATTCGAATGGTGTATATCCCGTGTTACGATTGATCGTGCAGTTATAATTAAGCATGGCTTTCGGTAGGAGAAGGTCCCACGGGTTTTCGGCGGTCTGATAGCATCTAATATATTCTTTTAAAATTACGTGTGATCTCTCGTTCTTGCCGTTTGATTGAGGGTGGTAGACAGACATAAGGGTATGTTCCGATCTCATGAGATTGCAAAATTCTGTGAATTCTTGCGACGTAAATTCCTTTGCGTTGTCGGTGAGTATTTGTTTAGGTTTCCCGAATATTCGTAGCCACGAAGCCCAAACGGCTTGTATAATGGCCGCAGTGGACTTATCCGTTAGAGGTTCGCACATGATGTACCGTGTTAAGTAATCCTGAATTACCAGTATGTATTTGTTTTTCCGTGGGGTCTCGTCTAGCGGTCCTACAATATCTAACGAGATTTTATCGTTCGGTTTCGCGGGAATGTCAGTCGCCTGTGGTATATAAGTCTGTCGCTTCGTGTCTTTATTCCTTTGACAGATTTCGCATTGCTCTATATACTTTTTCACGTCGCGAGTAATATTTGGCCATTCGAACTGCCTGCGGATTTTTTGCAATGTTTTGTCGTAGGCATAGTGCCCGCCGAATAATGAGTCGTGTGCTAGCCTAATTACTTCCTTAGTGTCGATAGGGGCTGGTCGGGAAAAGTAAATTTCCAAGTCGCGATTCAGTTTAGATAGAAGAGTGGCGACTTGAGTGTCGTGATTTCTGTCCTGAATTACGTTAATCTTATCTCCGCTGTTTAATGCCTGTGTAAAGGTTTGAAGTTTGAACCTATCGGTTTCGTGAGGGGATAGGTAGGTTTTATCTTTTTCGACTACCTCTAGAGGTGTCTCTGTGTAAATGATGGTGGGGGCATCTTTACGGTAGCCGTGGCGGATGGTAACCTGGGAACGGGTTGTAGGTGCCATTGAGACGGCAGGGTCCGGTGTTCCTACCAGGTTTTTGATAAAATCATCGTCTTCCGTTGTACTTTGAGGATTGTTAGAGTAGTATGCTAAGTACTTGTCTAGTTCGTCTCCTGCAGCGTCTCGTTGTGCGACTCTAATTCTACTTCTGGAAAGTGCGTCGGCGTTAGTATTAATCTTTCCGAGTTTATAAATTATTTCGTCCGTTTTACTATCGTTATTAATATGAAAAACCAATCGCTCATCGAATTCCTCGGTGGATTCGATTTGAGTTTTTAGGAAATCAGAAAGAATTGGTTGTCCGTTCGTATCGACTTTTTTGATTGCCCCGGTCCCTGATATAAAATTGACGAGTACCGTTTTGTTACTGCAATTATGGCTCGAATTTTTACATCGTTTGGTGATGTTCCCGACCTTGAATTCGTTACACGAAAGAGAGAAGTTATGATCAAACAAAAAGTCTGCTCCTAGTATGCCGTCTTGAGTTATAGGCGAATTATCATCTACTACTTGGAATCTATTACATTTCTCATTAAAGGGAATGAGAACCGAATACAAGGTGTCGGTGGTATCGTTCGTAACACCTCTAAGCGTGAGGGGCGCGCCTTTATACAGCGTTTCGTTGACTATCTGTTTTTCTTTAATTATAGAGATTTCGCTACCTGTATCGATGAGGAAGGTAGTCGGTCGGAGCCCTGGCAATTCTAGTTGAACAAACGGGGAAGAGTCCACGCGATGCTCCTCTGTTGCTGTTGGCCTGACGTTCCCGATGGTGACCATCCGTCCGGCGGTTGGGTGTTCGGCGGAGCCCCAATGAAAATTTCGCTGTTGTCCGGTTAATCGTCCTGATTGATCCCTCTGCTTCGTCCGGCACTTCGATTCCGTGTGCCCTCGTCGTTTGCAATAGTTGCACTCCTTACTTCTCCAGTCCGGGATTGGGTTCCTCTGGATTTCGGGGCGTTGTTCCCTTGGTCTTCTTGGGTCCCTCGGTAGTTGCCACATCCGCGATTGCTGTTGCATGTATTGCAACTCCATGTCGTACATGCGTGCGGCTTCGAAGGCTTGGTTGAGGGTCTCCAGTTGCTGGCTGAACAGGTATTGCGAGATTTCTGGCCTGACATTGCATCGGAAGCACTGAATGCCTTCCTCGTTGCATATTATCTCCTTTATGTCAATATACGTTTGTAGTCTTCTCTCGGAGTTTACGGCCGTCAACAATTCGTCTTGTATTTGAGAGAATCGATGTATGAAGTCGTTTATCGGTTCGTTTGGTCTTTGTTTGCACGAATCAAAAAATTCTATGTATTGTACGAAAATTTTTAATTAATATCTCGGAAACTAGTAGGAAGACGAAGATACCACTTTATATTTGGGGTCCCCTCCCCCTCCCCCTTCCTCTCAAAATTTCATCTTGATTGGCGACCGGTCGTATTCGGAACAGACGCAACTAACACTACCGTCTTCGCTGCAGCAACCGTCATCGTCAAGTGTCGAACAGCCGTTCACACCATAGCGATATCGGCTTCCATTTCTATAGGGTGTTCCATGTAAAATCCATTTTTTTTAGTTACATTACGTTATGTTTTATATTTTATTACTAATTCTCAAGGAATTAAACACATTTGATTTATACTGTTACGTCCCGGCGGAAAATTTGAAATTTATCCGCCTTGCGTCCCTTATCAAGCCCTTTTGTGTTACGAGAATCTCTCATGTAGGGGGCGTACAGACGAGTGTTTCGGTTTTTCGCCAACCTTTCCATTCCTCCTCGACCTTGGACATTCTTGTCAAGCCTTTCGAGGTTACGAGGATTTCTCATGCAGGGGTGTACAAGGAAGAGTTTGAGCTTAATTCTTTTCAACAGTTTACGTGACCCTCCTTGAAACTATCGTCGCCAGCCATTGTAATAAAATACAGTAATAACGTAAAATACAGTAAGAGCCGTAGCATAACATCAGTGCTACGCAATTAGCCAGTGCTTCGCATTCCGGGAATTTCCCTTGCTAACTGCGTACGAACGGGAAAATCGTAATAATTCTTTTGTTAGAAAACTCTTCCTCTCTCTATTGCACAAAGCATCAGCCGGTCCAACAAGGATCACCATTACCTGATCGTAACGATAGTATGAGAGAGTGGATGGATGAAAATAAATTTAAACAATGAAAGTAAGAATTGAGAACCCCTACGAAAGCGAACGTCGCGAACGTTCGACCGCCGTTCGAAAATCAAGGGTCGTTCGAAGCAATAAACACTATTGTATCGAAATTCTAAGAACTGCCTAGCGATAACGGCAAATTTTGAACAAAGGAACGTTCTCGAAGGAACGTTCGCCAGATTGAGAATTGTTTAAAATTCATAAAATGCGAAATGCCGAATTCATCAAAGCGATAGTTTCTAATGTGCGATAGATTGTTGTAAAATGCAATATTCGCCACGGCATTACAACCACCGTAAGCGCATCATCCGCTTTTAAACCTATTAAATCAGACTATCTTTATTGCAAATCAGGAAAGTGAATAACTTTGATCATGATATACGGATGACGGTTTCCTCCATCGAAACCTGTAATTTCAAATCTCATCTTGCAGTTCAATCGAATCAATAGTTATGAATTAATTCAATGCAATAGTCATATTATAATTCAATGCGATTAGTTAATTATACGTATAAAGAGAAATACTGCGTAGTTTCTGAAAACCGTTGAAACTATCATGGCGACGAACTAGAAAAGAAAGGAACACCAAAGAAAGGGGATGAAAGATCTTCGTCTAGCTCGCGCGTCTTAGCCAATCAACGGGCACGCGACACTTTCGAAAACGAACTACGATTCGCCAAACCGTCCCCTCCAAAGACGATGTTCGCGCAACGGACCCTTCGACCATCGATCGCGCACGAAAGTCACCATTTGTCACTCTTGATCGATCAATCGTAAGTACGTGATCGGGAGCCCGTGTGTCCGAGAGACAGAGTTATTTGGAAGTTCGCGATATTTTCTCTGCGGTAAAGTCCTCCGCGTAGCGAGGCAGAGTGCCGTGCGAGTTAAAATAATCGGAATTCTGAATAAGGACTCATAGACGCGCACGTAAAATCTTCTCTCTCCCTAAATTTCTATCTTTTCTTTCTGATTTTAAATCGTTTGCTCGCGTAGTAATTTCTCGAATTAACTTCATTCCGCGTAAATATATATATTGATTATTTTCGTAATTAATTATTTTTCGTTATTCGTTTGTTTCTCGTCGACGTACTCGTCCGTTATAATCCGTTTTCCGCCGCGACAAGTGCAGTGATCGAAATCTTATCGTTCTTTGGTGTTCCAGGGTGCAAGGTGTAAGGTGCGTAATTTTAAATTATTTATAATAACTTCACTCTCTCCATTCAGATTTTACTGCATCCAGTGCAAAAATGTTAGAAATCACATAATGCACTGTGTAAAGGAAATGTAAAAATTGAAAGTATTTCTCATGTTATCGCACGAAATATGTCGAAAATATCGGTTTTTTATTTTTTTCGGTTTGACGCACCAGAATGAAAAATCTGAAAAAAATTGAGGACACCAGTCATACTAATATCTAACTACTGTGAAAGTAAAAATCTAGTGTCTCGAAAGCTTCTACCCGAAATCTCAATTTTTCGACTTTTTTTTGCGTTTTTGATTTTTCACGCCTAGGATTTGTAACCGAAAAATCTGAAAAAATTCACAGTTATAAAGAAACATGGCTAGAATATTCTAGAATTTTTTCAAATTTTTTGAATGCCACTAAATACGGAAAATATGGCAAAAACTACTTTTTCTTTCTTACCCTGTAACTACCCTCCCGGTTGAGGTACAGGGTTGATACTTGGTGTACCATGGTTTTTTGGGATATGCTATCGAATGGTGCATTGCGAAGCAAATTAGGCTCAAGGGCACTTTTGACCATCTAATCCTGCTATACCCTTTGTATTGCTTTATTTTTAAGACTTTATCTTTTCAAAAAACGTATCTAAACGGGTTGAAGTTTTGAATCGATCTGGCGGTGAAGATCTTCGGTCGATGTTGGCTGTCATCCCCTCCTTGCTGGATCCTGATTCCTCCCTCAGGATCATCCCTGGTCCAATGGCGGAGGAGTCCATTTCTGTCCGGAGGCGGTCCCTCTTCCTGGCTTCAGTCCACCCTTGAGCGAGTGAAAATGGTGGTGCTCCGCCAAGACTCGAGAACGATTCCGTGCACACGTGTTAAGAGAAAGCGTGGGATCCAGAGAAAAACGGAAAATAAAAGATCTCACGCTAGCGAACCGTGGCAACCCTTGAAAGAATTTACGACCCTCTATAAATAAACAGGATGTCGAAGTGACTTCGACAACTTCAAGAACCAAACATGATTTTCGTTAAGAATAATGAATTAGATACAGCCCGTAATAAATTAGTCTCTTAGAAATTTCAAGTGGGACAGTTCTATTTCTCCGGATTTCTAACTTTCTCCCAGCACGATCACCTGCATTAAAAGTTTTACAGAGTCTTGTCTATTGCTTGCTTAATCTTTTGAATTTTGGCTTCTAATTTATGAGCATTGATATAACATAATACAGACATGCTGTAGCCATACTCTTATGACATCGTCGCCATATTACGTTTCATTCAACTCCTGCGATTACAGGCTTGCAGCTAGTTTTACACGATACTGCACTCATACATACATATAAGCGAGGTTCGCAACACTTGCGACCAGTACAGTGTACAGTGCAGTACAGTGTCATAACGTCATGTTCCCGGTTACACTTCAATGAATTATCGTTAGTAACATTTTAGTACATTATTGACGATCTTTTAATGATTCTTCAACCGATTTATTAAAATAAGCTTGGTGAAGAGATGCAACAGCAACAAGAAAGAATAAAGGGACAACTTCCGAAACCGTACGCACATTATCAACAAATAGAAACACGTCATTTATGAATAGTAATCACACATTTTATTAATTCCTGGCTGAATAAGACTAGTAATGACAGTAATTACGGTTTGTACAACATTTTTGTCGATTCGATAAAATATTCGAATTTCGGTAATTCGTTAAGTTAGGTTAGGTTAGATCACAATTAAATCAGTTAAAATATGCGCTTTAAAGCTCTCATATGCGATCACCCTGTTGTGACTTATGGTTCGAGCCATAACTTACGTTAATATTATACTATAATGTGCGTACGGCTTACCAGAATAAAAATGAAGTAATATTTATTATTTTGATAAAAATACCAAAAATTATAAAAAGTTGCTGCCAGCATTTCCTATTATTGAAGAAAGGAATTTTTTATAGAGGCCTTTTATTTAACATTGTTTGCTTCAAAATTTTAGTATAATAAACTAAAATACTTTTAAAATGTGTGTTTATAGATTGAGCCATAAGAAATGCTGCGTGAAGAGATGCATCAGCAAAGAACAACAAATGTTCACCTTTCCTTCACATGAAGTGGATTGCAATAGAATGCTGCAGTGGGTGGAAGAGTGTGGTAGGAAAAATCTATTATAGCCTCCCCCTCAGAAGCTAAAGTCGAAAACTATTTGTGGCATACATTTTGAGAAAAAATATTTCCTCTACAAAAAAGTATCAACATCAGCAGTTCCAACATGTCACTTACCAGGTAATAATTAATTACACAACCTCCATAGAGTATATAATTTATTTGTTATGAAAATGTGTATTGAATGCTATCAGCACCTGCCACATCGGTAGAAGAGTCACAGGAAAACAATGCAATGGAAGTTATAGAAGGAAAAAACGTAAGTTTTTATCTTCACACTAACATGATATTAATACATTGCATATAGATGATAATATTTCCAGCATGAAGTATATACATAGTGTTATGTGATTTTGTTATTATAGATCAATCTGATTGCACTGTAGAATCCAAAGACTACAAGAGATCTGGGTAGATTTAGGAACAGCAAAGGATCTACTGGCATTATGAGACCTAATATCACCATTACACATATGGAACGTACAATATTTCCAGAGGTTAGAATATTACTTTTGGTTTTATTACTTTTCTTAGTTATAAAGTGTATTTAACCAATATTCTGTGCTTTTGTAGAGATAACATGCAATGGTTAAAAGAGACTATGTCTACAAGGAGAAAAATTATTACAGAATGTTGGTATATCCTTGTAAATTGCTGATTGACTATTGGATTCATTGTCAGTATTATGCATGAATCAGTTAAAAGACGCTGTGTCAATTATTTTTTACAATTATATATTATGCTGTCAAAAGGAGTGAACACCAAGGTATTGAATAAATATTTATGAAATTAGTTTAATTAATTTGAAATTATACAATATTGAAAGCAATGTTCAGTTGTTCACTGAAGAACATGTTTTACTATGTACATAGTGTACAAGACAATAATATATGTACATACATAAATGAGCAATATTGTATATGTACACTACATATTACATATCTTTCACATTTACTTTGTATTAGAAATTCAGGCATATTTTTCCTAATGGTACACAACATTCGGTAATTGGCCCAAAAGGTCGGTCAAGTTGTAACGTTCAACTATTCGAACCACCAACGATTATAGCTAAGACAAACAACATAAATTAAGGGTTATGAACCGATTTTGAGAGAATTCAATGTGCCAAAAGTCACGTAAGTACACTTCCCTATTTAAGTGGGAGAAAGAGCCTGCTACAAGGAAGCGAGACATATTCAGTAGTCAGCACCATGCAGGGATCATCAAATAAAAATGCCGTGACGATCCATAACAGTACTGATTGTCAGTGTCGCAATGTCGCATTAGATTAGTAGCTCATTACATTGTAAAGGATATTTTGTATAGTCGCCTTTATCGCAGACGAGTATCTTTTCACGATCTCAACTAAGACAATTGATTTTCGTCTGAAGGTTGAAAGAGCTTTTCGTGCTCTTCCTTCAATTCTAGTTTCGTTAGATAGTACACAGACTACTGTGTTGTTTCTTCTAATTATTTCGAAGCCGTTAACACCACGCGCGTTCAGAAATCACGTCGACAAAGTTCTGTGCTCTTCGAGTCAAAAATAATCCGGGAAATTCCGCCAGAGTCCCGAGAGCGTTACTTTACGGTCGCTAAAAAGTCGTGCTCGTTGTTTCACCTCAACACACTAATCTATATCTATACTTCTATACTAATATATAAAGCTGTAAGCATTTTCTTTGTTCGGGGTAATCTCCAAATCGACTGCTTCGATTTTGATCCGATTTTTTTTTATGTGTTCCTTATAACCTTGCGAAGGACATAGGCTCAGTTTTATTACGCTGTTGCATCGGGAAACGTATAAAATATTGTTTATTTTGTTTGTGTAAATCGTAGCGCAGAACAGTTCAGCAGAACTGCTAATCCCCACCGCTGCTGTGTTTACATAGTAGTGGGAATACCTTCGTACCTCTGCGGTGGGAATGGATGGCGGCGCTGTCGGTGCTGCTGCTTCTTGCATTCAGCATTCATCTTTTTTTCTCATACACTCACAGACAAAATACCACCCGGGCAGCGCCGGGTAACACAGCTAGTACTTTATAATTACATAACGTACTTATATTTTTCAGGTAACATACTGAAAATTCTGAAAAATGACGCAATAGAGAATCTTCTGAAATAGAAGACGTATAATACCATGGCAGTACGACTGAAAGTTGTAAAGTACAGAATAAACGGCAGTGGCTAGCTGTAAAGAAATGCGTCAAGCAGATTGAACATCTAGCACAGATCGGCACTACATACTGCACGCTATGATTTCAGCCCAGATGTGCAACGAGGGAAAGCCCAACTTTTTCGACGTTGATTTTCCAAAGAAAAGAAAATATTAGCATTAATTTATAAACAAAGTCAAGTATCGAAACGCTTCAGAAACTGATGCAAATTTCATTAATAGCTAGAATTTGTGACAATGTCTTTGAAGAACTTAAAGAGCGTTTCAAGTCACTGTAGTGGTAGCAACAGTTTGCGATCAAAGCAGCGCAAATTGTAAAGCAATAATTGAATAATAATGAAAGATTAAATTGCCTTAGGGATATCAGCGTAATATTTTTAGAAATATCTAATGCAATGCTTAATAGATTATTCTAAAAAAAAGATTTAATAAACTCTCATTTATTAAAATGTATGCGACACACCATTTGATTAGATTTGCAATTCACTTCAGCCAATAATCTTCCACGTGTAGCTAAATGGTCACACATTGAAGATTTGTATCTTATTGATAGCAGTAACGCTTCTTATCAGGACCGAATTCTAATAAAGCTTATTGCAAAGCTTTAGTAATAGATAAAATTATAAAAATGAAGGTTAAGTATTGCACGCAAGTTTTTAGGCAATCCTTTGGGTCCTTAATCACACCGAGTCGCAATAAAGTTAAAAGTGTGTGCGGCACGCGTTAAATGCCAGTAGAAGGTGTTGACACTGCTCGATTCATTCATTTTGTGAATAATATTTTCGATAGTATCAATGGTAGTCGACCTATTCCGGCAAATGACGAACTGCGAAATACCCAATACCTGGGACGTATACCGCAGTTCACCAGAGTCCATAACTGCGACGCGCAGGTTGGAAGATCGTGGGGGGAACGCAGCGAGCTCTCTGCTAATCGCTTTCCACTTCGTTTGGGAGTATCGCCAATCAGGGCGAAGATGCGCACTGGAGAAGCACGAAGAACGAAAACTGGTCTTTTCGCAGTTATGGACTCTGGTGAACTGCGGTATAGATATTAGCATTTTCCGTAGCATGAAATTTATAAAAAGAAAATGGGGGCTACACTTCGTCTCAGGGGATCAACAATTTTTGAATAAAAAGTGTCAAATCTTATAGTTAATTTTTGGTCCCCTAAGACGAAGTTTGACCAAAATGGGTATTATAAAATTGAATTAGAACGTTACAAAATTTTTAATTTTTGAAAACACATTGGTGCGATCTTGGATTTTCTCACTTTCTTAGTCGTAATTTTAACCAAGATGCGCTAGAAAACTTTTTCGATTGGATCAGGCAGCATAATATCTGGAATACTAATCCAACTTGTACTACCTTTCACGGGCATTATAAGACGTTGTTCTTAAATTTATATTCGCAGTTGACAAGTGTGGATACTAACTGCGAATTTGAATAATTCACGGACTCCAGTTGTATCGATGAACAACAATTATAATGTTTTTCTAAATTTGTTTCTTCAGCTTCTGAATCCACTGTACTGACAGTGATTCAGTATGTTTTACAGTATGTTCTTAAGAAGAACTTCGTCTATAAATTTTGTTTGGCAATAGTATTTGAAATTAAAAGCAATGCATCTCCGTGTTCATCGATACACGCTGCGTCAATCTTCCACATATAGCACACATTCCAAACCTTATTGGGTCTCTAAAATGATACATTTCGGAACATGTGAATTTAAAATTGACATGCTGCGAACATGGAAAGTCTTTATGTCATACGTCATACATCAATGTATCTAATATGTTGCCAAGAATTATACAGCGAGAGTAAATCGTGTTATAAATGAATCCAAAGAGCCAACTTCTCCTCATTCTGTATACATATGTATGATGTATAGTATATGTATGTTTGTATTTTTTAAGCTGTATTTATGCAAAATAATTTTATTTATTACGTGCAAAGTGCATGTCGATTTACTTTATAAGCAAACATGGTTATGCGCATTTCTCATATGTATTTTTTACACTATTGTTAATATAGGTATTTATTGAATTTTCTGTAAATTTAATACATTTCTTTTAATGTACATATGTTGCTGTAATTTTTTTCCTTCTATTATTTTTGTTTTTCAAATAAATTTTAAAGTAAATAAAGTAAAAGGCAAAGGCGTGACTCGTTTCATTCTTATTGTTAGATGAAAAGTCGCGATTTTCGGAAATTTAATTGCTTGTAACTTCTAAGTGCATTCACCGATCTCGATGAAATTTTCAGCATACACATAACTTATTTGAATCTACGAAAGACATTTTAAATTTTCATTATAAGCTCACATAAAAAAGTTGAAAAATTGCCTTTACTATTTTTTTCCCGATTTTGAAAAATTGTAATTTTTTAAAACAGCAGAAGCACATATCTCAGTAAATTAATTTTTATAGCTTCTACAAAAATCTCAAGTCATTTAGTCCAATTTTAAATGAGGTATTCTGTTTTAAACGATGTGCCAATACTTTTTTCCAACCCTGCATGCATTTAGCGGGTCGCGCGAGACATAATTGCGCGGGCACCACGACCACCTTACGGGATTGATACAGAGAGATTCTCTCGGCGCGCAACACAATAACCGCCCCGCACAATGGAACCCTGCTGTGTTTGCGGGCAAAAAGCCCAGGAGGTCAAGTCGCCGGACCCAAGACTGCTCTGTGTTTTGGGTCCGGCGACTTGACCTCCTGGGCTTTTTGCCCGCAAACACAGCAGGGTTCCATTATGCGGGGCGGCTATTGTGTTGCGCGCCGAGAGAATCTCCCTGTAGTACATAGGATTGGAATGATTATTCACTGTTTGCTGAGATTTAGTCTTTTATTAGAACTGAGCTTTGCACAGAGATCAGATGGCGATGATCGTGTAGTCAAGAAGGAAACAGAATAGAATCAGGGGTGCATCATGGCGAGGGCACAGTATAGGAAAGAACAGTAGGATCACCCTGCCAAAAATCGTAAGTACCAATAATTGTCGCTCACGCATGATCGAATCGCACAACCAACAATATGGCGGCTGTAAATATATATGATAATAGTTTCTTGCATTTTAACCTCTGTTACTTCTAATACATTCCTGTTGCGATAAACAAACATTGGGACCCAGACGTTGCATATATCCAGCCAAGGTGTCGAATCTCGGATTAAACGCGACGACCAGCCAAGCGTGAACGTAGAAAGGGACAGACAGTGGCGGAAAGAGAGAGGTCCGATGATCAAAGGAAAGAGCCGATACGTATCGGTGTGACTAATACTAATTGAATCAAAAAACTTTTTCATTTTTGACTTTTTTTAAATGAAACTTTTACTAGCGCATTGGTGAGATTTTTGTGATTAAAGTGGCACCAAACACGATATAGTTTCAATTATAATTACTTGCTAAAATTGATGTTAAAAGTTGGCGAAAAGCAAAGCAGGGTTGGAAATGAAAACCGGTTGCGGTGTCGGTTCTGCTTTCGAACGTTGCATATATCCAGCCGAGGTGTCGATTCTGGGCATTTAATGTTTCATATATCCAGCCGAGGTGTCGATTCTGGGCATTTAATGTTGCATATATCCAGTCGAGGTGTCGATTCTGCGTCCGTACACATCGTTTGTATTCCGCCGCGATACCTATTCTACGTTCGTACACAACATGCGACGTGTTGCATCTTGCATGTTGCGTGTTTGATGCATCTTTGGTGTACGGCCTGCCTTATGTTTGGTATCATTTTAATCTGAAAATTCTCACAAATGCGTTAGTAAGTTTCATTAAGAAAAAGTTAAAAATAAAAAAGTTTTATCGTTGAATTAGTATTAGTCACACCGATATAACGGTTCGGATCGTATTACACGGCTTCCTCGTCGAGCGTCTCGGTTCGCTTAGGGGGATCCCCCCAAGTGGAGGGGATAGCGATGTTGCATATACCCAGCCAATCTTTCGTTGCATATATCCAGCTTTTACTGTAAAACTAAATTTGAAAAATGGTTTTACACGAGCTTTACTTCTCTTGAATGCAGGACAAAGAACAATGGATGAAGATTTTGCAAGGACCACTGGTATATATAGTTCTTGATTACTAACTAAATAATCGTTAGCAACACCAATGTACTTTTAATTTATATTTTAGATTAATTACCGATCCACCTAATTGGTTCTTTGATTGAACTTCATTTCTCATTAAACGAGCGTTTAATTACTTGGCGTTGTTTAAATTATACTGATTGAGCTATATAACAAGTAATCCTTGATTAACAATTTAATAACGGAAAACTGATTCTCATCCTAATATTTGAATTTAACGCGCTTCAGGCACCACATTCAATTTTCCATACAACCTAGTTCACAATTGATTCTGCAGCTATATTCACTCACACCAACGAGGATCGCAACTGTAACGTGAAATGTTATCACGTGAACATGGCTAGAGTAGTATGGCGACCATGCCATGGGAATATTTATCGATGATCTGTTGTATCGATATGTCTCGAATATTTGTCGAGGACCTTTGTATCGATGGTTGTAAATTAAAATCGAAATGTAAACCATCTGTGCGTTTACTCATGTGAAAAAGACAAAGCCCTCGACGTGGGTGATCGAGCTGATAAAAGGCCGGAAATCCAGAGAATGGAATAGTTTCACTTCTACAATTCCTGAAAGGCTAATTTATGATAGACCATATCAAATTCGTTGTTTTCGACCAAGTCATGAAGGGTCCTTAAAAGTTACGAAGTCTTTTCCGATATCCTGTCTATTCATGCACTCTAAGAGGGTCGTAAATTTCCTCAAGAGTTGCCTTTTGGCAAGTACAAGGTCTTGTCGTTTCCTATTTTCTCTGGGTCCCACGCTTTCTCGTAGCACATGTGCGCTGTAACGTTCTAGCGTCTTGGCGGAGCGCCTTCACTTCCACGCGCCTGAGGGTGGACCACAGGCAGGAGAAGGGGCCTACACAGGACGGAGTGAACTCCTCCACCATTGGACGAGGGATGATCCTGAGGGAGGATCCAGGATCCACCAAGGAAGGGGTATCGACCGGCATCGCGCGAAGATCTCCGCCAAGCACAGAACGATCAAAATGATTTTGTCAGCTAAAATCGACGGATCTTTCTCACTCTGCAATCTAAACGCATTTTAGAACTTCAGAATTTTGCTCACGTATTGACAAATAAATAACGAAGTTAAAACAGTGAATTAACAATTTTGTATCAAATTCATTTTTCGCGCCTTGCGAGCAGAGCGCCTCCGCGCCCCACGGATTACCTACCTGCGCCTTTCAATCCCGAAAATCCCTATTTCCGCGAAAAGGCACAGGAAACGGACACGCAACATGACAAATTGATTTTCATTTCTATGAAAACGCTGTTTGCAATGAAAGGTTCGCTAATGTCAATTGCAGAAATGCCACGTGGAAAGGTTGCAAATCTATGTCTATCATGTATTATGGCAGCAGTAGTCACTGATGGCAGTATAATATCCGATGTTTTTCACTTATCAGAATATTTGACATGTACACTTGCGTTAAACAAATATAGTATTTTAGAAGTAGATGCTTCAGGAATTGACCGGTGTTTTTTAATTTAATTTTGTTTCCCTTTGAACGTGTTTGAATTATACAATTTTATTATTTGATTTAGAAATATATATATAGTTATGTTTGGTATCACTTTCCTTGTAAAAATGTCAACGATCCAAGAAAAACCATAAAAATTTACATTTCTCTTCGTGTGGTGAACGTTGATTTGTTTATTAATAGTCAATTGTGGACAATAGATAAGCCGGAGTTGAGCTCCGGCTGAGCAGCCTGAATAAATGGTGGGGATGACGACGCAACACTTTCCGACTGATATTTTACAATTTAAGAAAAACTACTATACAATGGCGAAATTAATTGTATTTTTGCAATTGTTTATGGTATGTACGATTCATCATGCGTCGGCCTTTTATTTGCCAGGACTGGCTCCCGTGAATTACTGCAAGGCTGGCGAAACTTCAGAAACATGTAAAGTGCGTATTCAAAATTCCTTTCAACTATTTTTCGAATTTTATTCCAATTACGATACTGTGATTCTTTTTCTCTTATTATTAATATAATTTATAAATACTAATGTTAAAGATTGCTCTTTTTCGATACTCGTTAAAAGATAATCCTTTTCTTTTCTTCGTTAATTAGTGTTTAATTTTTTCAAATATTCCGACGTGGCTTTTCGTAGCATGTGATTTATAATGAAGAGATTTAATCACGAAAATTTGTCATATTAACGTTATTTGTATGACAATTATATGATACTCTTAGATTGACCTTGTATTCAATATATTAGTAATTTATATTTAATTATCATTTTAATTAGTGTTTCTGTTTACGTCAAACATACAAGAAATATATAGTTGTACTTTTATTAAAATTTTGTATAAGTTTAACTGTAATTGTAATTATAATTTATATGTATAACTCCTTTCGCTTATTGGTTTTTATATTTTTCAGTCTGAAATTAAACTATACGTGAATCGTTTGAACACAGAGAAATATGTAATACCATACGAATATCACCAGTAAGTTTTTACACAGCTACATTATTCTTTAATTTTCTAAAATTAACAAGTAATGTACTAAAAACAATTCTTGGTTAGTTTCGATTTTTGCCCTTCCGATGAAAGCCAGAGTCCTGTAGAGAATTTAGGACAAGTTGTTTTTGGGGAACGAATAAGGCCTTCTCCTTACACGGTAGATAAAATCTAATATATTTTAATATTATTTCATAAGATTGACTGAGAAATTAAATAATTTTGTGTAATTAAGTAATCGAATTTTCTTATAATAAAACATCCCGCAAACTGTGGACTTATGTAAATTTTTAGTTAGAGTTTATGAAAGATCTCAAATGTGCGGTGGCATGTCAGAAAAAATACATGGGAGGAGATAAAGAATCAGAACAGAAATTAGAGTTTTTGAAAAAAGGAATGGCGCTCAATTATCAGCATCACTGGATAGTTGGTAATACTTTAGTAATAAAATATGTTCAAACTTAAATGCTACCAAGTATTGGATAAATCTATCGCTTAATCTTTTTGTAGACAATATGCCAGTTACATGGTGTTATCAATTAGAGGATGAACAACAGTATTGTAGCACTGGGTTCCCTATGGGCTGTTTTTCTCAGGAACCAAGATCTCAACAGGATACCTGTAGCATCAATGTAAATATAAATTATTATCTCTAATCAAGAAAAAATATAGTTTATAAAACAGAAACAGTTTTGACTAAAGTTAATTCTTTTTTTTTCTTATTAGGGTGCATATAATAAAGCAAAAACTTATTACCTATTTAATCATGTAGATCTTACAATTACATATCATAGCGGTGCTAATGAGGAATGGGGATCTGCGTTTAAGGAAAATGGTGGACGTATAATATGTAAGAGTTTCAAAGTTCATGTTCGTGATTTACATTTTCTTAATATTTCGCTTTATTAAATTTTATACTTATACGTTTTAATAGCTGTTAAAGTAGTTCCTCGCAGCATTAAGCATGGTAATATTCCTGATTGCGAAAGTAAAAAGCCATTAGAAATACCACATGATCCGCTTCCTGTTGGAAAAGAGTTGGGTGTTACATATACATACTCTGTAACATTTGTGGTAAGTCTTTTAATAACGCTTTATTTATTTCTTACATAAAAATGATTCTCAATTTTTAATTTTAGGAAACTAATAACATCAAATGGTCGTCTAGATGGGATTACATCTTAGAATCTATGCCGCACACAAATATCCAATGGTTCAGTATCCTCAATTCATTGATAATTGTTTTGTTTCTTTCTGGAATGGTGGCTATGATAATGCTGCGAACATTGCATAAAGATATTGCACGGTACAATCAGGTACATTTAAGGAATATCGCTTTTTAAATATCAGTTATATGGAATTTCATGTTTTATTTAAACAGTTCTTATTCATTTGAAAGAAAAAAATGTCTTGTCTGTTAGTTTTGTGTCATAAAATCGTGTCTGTGTTGCAATAACGCAGGCTTGCTTCCAGATAGAATCAGGAGAAGATGCGCAGGAAGAGTTTGGCTGGAAATTGGTTCACGGTGATGTATTTCGACCACCTCGCAAAGGAATGTTACTTTCGGTTTTACTTGGATCTGGTGTCCAAGTTTTCTGCATGACACTTGTTACACTTGGTGAGTTCTCAGTGTTAATTTTTTCAAACTCGTTTACACATTTTGTTTCATACGTTCCACAGCATTTGCTTGTTTGGGATTTTTGTCTCCTGCTAATAGAGGAGCTTTAATGACCTGTGCCATGGTTTTGTATGTTTGTCTTGGAGTTACCGCTGGCTATGTATCTGCCAGGATATATAAAAGTTTTGGTGGTGAAAAATGGAAATCAAATGTACTGCTGACTTCTATGTTGAGTCCAGGGTAACATAACTTATCATTCAAGTAATTAAAATTATGAATTATACATTATGATGTTATTTATTCAAATATTTGTCTTTTACAGAATCGTGTTCAGTTTATTTTTTACAATGAATTTGATATTTTGGGCAAATGGAAGTTCAGCCGCAGTACCATTTAGCACTCTTATAGCTCTTCTAGCTCTTTGGTTCGGAGTATCTCTTCCATTAACATTTGTTGGAGCTTACATTGGATTCAGAAAAAGGGTAGATTAATATTGAGATGATATTTAATTATTAAAAGGAGCAGAAAGGAATTTCTTATTTTCTGTGCGTAATTCTTTTAAAAAAAAGTAAATCTTGTTTCAGCCATTAGAACATCCTGTAAGAACTAATCAGATTCCCAGACAAATACCAGAACAGAGTTTTTACACTCAGCCAATACCTGGAGTAATAATGGGCGGAGTTCTACCTTTTGGATGTATATTTATCCAACTGTTCTTTATACTTAATTCCTTGTGGTAAGTGTTATCATTATTTGTACAAATTAATTCAGTGGCTTTTATCAATTACAATTTCAAATTTTAATATTTTCCCGTGCTTTTATGCATTTCAATAATGACGTTTATTTTAATAATTAAAATTATTATATATAAATTTTCAGTTTCTTTTTTCCTTAAAACGTTGTTAGTAATTTAGAGTTCTGAAATTATTTAAATTTTCATTTTTTATTTAAATATTTACACATCTGGAATTTTCATGTGTTCTTTTGTTTTAGGTCAAGTCAGGTGTATTATATGTTTGGATTTCTATTTCTAGTATTTTTGATACTTGTCATCACATGTTCAGAAACAACGATTTTACTCTGTTATTTTCATCTTTGCGCAGAGGTAAATTATTTTCAAAAAAATATACAAGGAAATAAATTTCAAACATTATATTTTCTTTTCAGGATTATCATTGGTGGTGGCGCAGTTTCCTTACATCTGGATTTACCGCCTTTTATTTATTAGTTTACTGTATACACTTTTTCATGACTAAATTATATATAGAGGATGCTACATCTACCTTCCTTTATTTCGGTTACACTTGCATCATGGTTTACCTATTCTTCCTTTTAACAGGTAAAACTTTCAATTTTTAAATAAATGATAAATGTAATTAAATATTGAAGATACTAACAGTACGTTTTTCTTTTTAAACAGGATCGATTGGTTTCTTTGCCTGTTTTTGGTTCGTGCGGAAAATCTACAGTGTCGTAAAAGTTGACTAATGTGTAAACAAATGATAATCATCGAAATAAAATGAACATGGTATGAAATTAAATGACAAGGACAAAGAATAGTTGATACAAACCTTAATTCTGTGAGAAAATATTAACGTACGAATATCAGGTCCTTTATCTCGAGAAGAGCAATAATTTTAATGTAATATCTGGAACACTTATACTAATGTATCAGTGTTCGACATATTATAACAGCCGTTATAATTGGTGACCTCTGGAAGAACATGCAGCAGATGACAACAATTCTATAATTCGTAACCTTTATCCTGGAGTGACTTTCAAAGCTCGAACAATGGACATCTGACCTACGGTCGCACAAATGTTACGGAAAGATACGGAACAACATATCAGGATACTGTTAATCACTAGCAAGGGAATACTCCTCATTTGGGTGTAATACCAACTTCCTCAGAAGTGCTTAGACTCCAACTGTTCTTACGTTGAGGGCACGGATCTGCTAGGTAGCATTACTGATCATTAGCAGACCCTGAAAGAAACACTCTAGCCTCCATCCTTTCCTCTTTCGTACAGCTCAATCGTTCTAATACAATTAATGTATCAAATACTACTTGTTATCTAAGCAGATTGCTGTAAGGCGTAACACTGTGAATTTAACTTTTTACAAAATCATAATTGACGCTTAATAAGTTATATTTTGAAACTTATAAAAACAAGATTAGCTTTGATAATAAACAAAGTCATTAATTATTTTTGTTTTTTTTTTTGCAACATGAGCGTGAAGAAGTCTTGAATGAGGCTGTTAATAAATTTTTGTTACTTGATAAGTGAGAATTAAGTTTGTCATTAATCAACGTAGAAATTAATTTGATGATGTAGTCACCGTTCTTTTGAGAATAATAGTAAACCGTAAGGATACGTGTATACATGTTACAAATAAATTACATAATCCAGATGTATAATATATACATAATTGCTAAGCTTATCTTTTACAATAAGTTCATAAATGAAAATTCCAGTCTGCGATGTAAATAAGAGAATTAAGTACTTTCTATATCGTATTCAGATTGCCAAATTTCTGGATTATAAAATTAATTGTAATGCATACACATTTTTTTACCATTTTCGTAACGTTAATCCTTTGCGATCTATCTTCTGTATCATTAAATTTCTGTATCTCGGTTTGTTCTTTATAAATCAATTAATCTTAATCACAAAGGAGGTAAGATGGATCGCAAAGGATAGTTTAATTAAAATTTTCTGTTCACTCTAAAAATTTAATATATTCTTTACCGTGATAACAAAAAAAAAGATATTAAAGAATATAAGTATGATCGTTTAGAATTCGAAAAATCATTTCTTTAAAATAATAGAGAATTTCAATTTTTCTTTACTTTTATTTCTTCTATCGATAGTATTTGTGACTGTGAAATATTTTAATTAATAGCTGACATGCACACATCCTGTAATCCACGATTTTTGTAAATTGCAACAATTACAAAGTTAGTATTAATGATGTTGATATAAATAAAGATTGAATAAATTTACATAAGCAGTTTCCTTCTAGTTTTTCATAGAACACGTGAAAGAGTGTTCTGACTTATCTATTACATGATTTTGTTTGTCGAAACAGTTTCATTTTTCATTTTGCCATTTGATATTGCAATGACAAAATAAATGTAACAAATTGCTTTTTCATTTCGAAAAATGTATTTTCTTGTGGAAAATTTTAACGATGAATAATGGAATTTTTTTTTTCTTTTCACTAAATACAGTGTACTTTCATACGTAATCCTATACTGTATTACATTTATTAATAATTTTACATATAGTCACGGAATATTGAATAATCTTTTATGTACAAACGTGTTTCTGACTGTGCGGATGCATCACGTGAAAGAAACACCAAAACTTTACACATTACTACCAAGTGGTGGTAGTACATGTCAAGGAAGCCTGGCTACTTTTCTACTGACGAAAGAAACAAAGTAATTCAGAGAGAGAGAGACGAGATATTCTCTCGACACTTAGGACAACTTCATGTCAGTCAATAAACCACAGTCTCACCATCTGGGCGGCGTTTGGTGCTGCTATGCTTTTGCCCAACTTTCATCTTTACTTTTCTTTTCGTAAAAAGACAAACAGTATTTTCAATAATCACGAATTACTAAATTCATTTCATTTCACGGGTTCAATTATTCTCCAATTCCCAAGCTGCGTTTCGCGATACCGCGCTACCACGATGTATCGTAGAACGTGATGCTTGTCTCCTAGACGATGCAAACACTGTTGAATAGTTAATGTCGACCTGTAAGAAGTACGGTTTAATGCTGAAACTTGGGATAGAAGGGATTCAGAGGGTCCAGGGTCATGCAAACAATTTTCATAAGTTACACGTTAACAAACGAATCAATAAGAAACTGCTTGAAACGGATGTACGAAAATGAAATTAAAATAAAAAGGTATCGTTCTTTTTGCGGAAACCCTCAATTAAAAAACGACAAATTCTAACGCGAAACATTAAAGCAGTAATTATAAAACAGAGCCTGCAAAGCGTCGAATAAAAGAGAAAAATTAATGCTTTGGAACGGTATTCAACAAATCCATCGACTGAAAAGAAAAAGGAAAAAGATCTGTTTGTCTGTACGTGATTTAGAGCCATTTTTTAAAATGGAATTGGTCAAAATTGGAATTTTTGTATCAGAGGAGAGGGTATGTTTATCGACAATGGTAGATTAGAGAATTATTTTCTTGGGCTCCGACGGCGGCGACCATCCCTGTTGTTTCTCTCCGCGCGTCTCATTTCTTCTAATCTGCGCGCGTGTTCCGCCATGTGTTGCCTTCTCATTTCTTCCTTTACGACTATCTGCAATTATAATAATAAACTTTTAAATAGTAAACAATTGATTTTTATATTTATTAATCGTATAAGAGATTTCGAATTGGTATAAGTGCGCAGGTTGACTTCGAATCGGTTCGACAAAAATCGGATGCGCTCGGTTCAACTGTCAACTACCTGAAATCGAGCACATTCGATTTTTGTGTCGATTCAATCCGAAATCAGACTGCACGCCTACGTCGATCTCTACCGAAGTATCATGCATACCTGTTCGTTTGTAAGCGGTAACCAGTATATGCATGGCGTCGCCTTCGTTTTTCTAAAGAGATCGTCTAAAAGCTTAGCTGGTGGTGGGTCGTCTTCTTTCTTTTTAAATTTACGAGCTGGAGCCGGAAGATGAGCTTCCACCGCAGGACTCCGACTCCTCTGTCGCCTCTTCTTATCGTGCTCTTTCTTTTCACGTTCCTTCTCCTTCATGTGTTGCTGACCATCTTCTTTACCCAGATCCCACTCTCGGACTACCATCACCTATTATTTTATAACTCTTACTTGAATATTTTATATCAATCAATTTTTCATCGATTCAACTCTTGTCATTTATAAATAAATTCATCGATTCAACACTTGTCATTTATTTATCTATGCATTTCATTTTTCAATTTATCATATCATCCTTCATATTTTTTCAATTATGTAACAGTTAGAGATGTACGGGTACCCGATATTACGGGCTCGGCTGGGCTCGGGTGCCTATTAATACTTGCAATAAGCATGTGCAAAATCTGTTTTATGTGGAAAAATAATACTTGTAACGAATTTATTTGAAATAAATTTCATTCCATGTCACCTGTATGTTAATTTTATACAAAATAGATTTTGAACATGCTTATTGCAAGCATTAACAAGTACATCAGAGTTGGGTCGCGGGCCGCGGCCCGCGGGAGCTCGTCCGAATCGGCCCGAGTGTACCCGATCGAACCCGAAATAGTCGGGCTATACGACTGCACGCATGTATCGCGGACGCCCGCCCGAGTCCGCCCGATGTTTTCCGAACCGACCCGACTAGCTGGGTCCACATCCCTATGTAACAGCAAATATAATTAAAATTTGTACCTTTGTATTTGTTCTTTCCTCACGGTTCCAATCTTGTTGCCACGAATCGGATGGTACAAGAGGCTCTGTTTTCCTTGGAATGGACTGATCTTTTGATAATTCTCGTGCCAATTCCATGTCATCTTTGGTTGCATATTCAACGTGTAGCCTCTTCGGATTTGACACGGGCCAGGATATACCGTGCAACGCTTGTCTCGTTTCAAATGCCTGATCCTCATTGGCATACTAAAATGATTCAATTACAATTACTATGACATTGCTGTAGGATATCTACACGTGTTTGCTTAACTATGTACAGTTATTTTCTTCTGGAAGATCAGTTCGCTCACTCATCTCGGATTTAAATTTACCGCCAAACTTTACTTATCTATATACATCCGACGCGACGGTTAAACTGAATTAGTAATAAGAATAAGTGTTTATTCAAAATTAAAGATTGTTATTTATGTTTAATGTATCATATTAATATTTAAATTACAATAAAATGCATATACCTCTACAAAACACTTCGATTTAATTCTGTCCATCCAAAATCCATTTTCGACGATTGTGCCAGTACGTGAAAGAAGCTCTTTAATTTGATTTAAAGTAAAAGGACGAACCAAATTTTTGATCAAAAGAATATTCGTAGGCTTTGTAGCAGGCGGACTTGGAGATTTCACATGTGGTGTTTCTTTGACGATTGATATTTTACGTCTAGCCGCTGCAAATCATAATAATTCTAATAAACACATGAAATATTTGAGTCAAGTACAGTGTGTTGTTCATTATGTCCAGTACACGAAAGATAGGTATCAAAAACATTACCCTCATTTTTAAATTTTAAGATCCTAAGACTCGAAAATTCTAAGATTTTATAACTCTAAAGTACCAGAATTTTAAGATTTTACAATTGAAAAATTTTTTAAATTCAAGATTCCAAGGTTCTAAAATTCCAGAATTCAAGAATTTCTCAATTCTAAAATTCTAAAATCTTTATAAAATCTTATCTTAATAAAAACCAATATTATGGCCAAAATGTAATATGTAACGTAACTAAAAACAAAACATAATAATGTTCGTATCACGTGAAATTGTAAATATAAAGAATTAGACAATATTAGCAATATTAGAAATATGAAACACTTGACATTATTAACCTCTTAGGCACGGCTGAATTTTGCGCGGGGTAGTTTCTCTGTACGGCAGAGTTCAAGGCGAATTACATGTAAATGATACAGCACTGCAATGTGTGACAGGTAATGCTGTTCTCTCTACACTAGTACATTGCGCCACTATAGTGGCGCGTCGTACAGAAAGATAACATCCGCGAAAGCCACTATAGTGGCGCATAGTGCCTAAGAGGTTAATAAAACTATGAGACCTGGTCCACCCTAGAAAAAATTTTAATTGCGCCAATTAACGCCAATTAACTTTTCTTTCCAAGTATACAACCCGTCTCCAAGTATACAAAAATCGCGACTTAATTATTTACATATTTATATACCTATGTGATTATCTATCTTTGCATCCCCTTTTTTCGTTCCGCCGTTCTTTTGCAGAAGACTTTCATCGCCAGATTTATCATCGTTCGCTCCTTCGTTAGAATTATGCCATTTTTCATTGACCCGATAACGATCTCTGTCCTCGTCATCGTCTTTTGAAAGGCGAACTTCATTTATTGACAACGGTCTTGCTCCTGGCACTAATGCCTAAAATACAATTGTAACATATTAACAGCGTATTCTAAAAAAATAAAAGTTAGAAAATTTGGAAAATTGTAAGACGTGAAACATGTTTATATGGTTGTAAAGGTCTAAAAATGTTACAAATAAGAAATAGAAAGGGATATTTTGTTTATGTGAAAGAAATTTACAATTTAAGAATGAAAGTATTACTTTAAGTGAATCCGTAGAAATTGAAAATGAAGGTGCGGTATCGGTAGATAGTGCAGTGCCCCACCGACGTTTTCTCGGAACACATTTTGAATTTTGTTCGGTACTATCATGATTTTCCTGTGAAACATTAATAAATTTATCATTAATCATTAACTAACGTTTATACAATAAAAAGGATAACAAACCTTGTTTGAAATAGCTGTTTCATTATTCGTGTTTGTATCATTGTCATCTTTTTTCGCATCGTTCTTCTCTGTCAACATTCTTGAGGAGCTGAAACAAAATTCTAATAAAGAAACTATCCATCAAATTGTTATACGAATTAAAAAATTATTAATTTTTGCTTACAATGATCTTTTCAAATTTACTTTTATAGGCTTATAAGCTATGGACTGCGCTGTAGTTGATACCGACTTATCATTTAAATTATCCAATTTCTGTTTATTTGCTTCACAAGGTTCAGTTTCTACGTTCACATTATTTAATAACAAATTATTCCTTGCTTTTGGTGATTCGGAATTATCTTTTTGTTCACCTGAGTCCTCTGCATTTATCTTCTCTTCTTGCACGTAATTATCAATTTCAATATCTCTTTTGATAGGAGGTTCATCTTCTGAATCAGGTGTATCAGAATTGGACGAATCTCTGTATTTGGTTCTATGCTTCCTGCGATTGGCAGGTTGTATTTTGCAGGTGGTTCTACTACTTTTAGTACGAACTTCATCGTTTGATTCGGACGACGAATTTATTTCACGAGCTTTTACCTTTTCGTCGTTCTCCTCGTCACTACTCGTCTCTCTTTTAGCATTTTCAATGCTAGTTTCTTTACTAAATGTTTCTGCTGACTTTTCACTGACATCTTCCACAGATGATTTTTCTTCCTTTGGTATAACATTTGTCTCCATGGATGAGCGATTACCATCTGAACTAGGAGCCAACATGGTTGTGCTACTCAACTTAGTAGGATCACTATCAGCGTTTACGTTGAAGATATTTTCCTCATTTGATTCACCTTGCTGATCTATGTTTGGTTTATCGTCAGACAAGTTGGCTGAAGTGGTTTCAGGCAGGATCTCCTTGCTATCACTTACCTCTTCGTTGGAGTCCTGACCTGGGTATGAAGAGGAGGGATCGTTCGGCTGTTCATTGCTACTGAGTGTTCTTGTACAAGAAACCAGTTGCTTGTCTGCCGAGTCAACCTCCTCTGCAACTCCCTCACCACTTTCCTGCCACTTGTTCGATTTTTTCCTACTTAAAGAAGTATCAGATGATCCTTCTGACAGATTGAGTTGTCTACATAACTTCAGCTTCTGTATCTCGCCAGGTGATGCATCGGCTCTTGACACTTTCCATACTGATCCGTCAGTATTGTCCTCTTCCTCGTCTTGCAACTTGCTTTTAATATCCACCTCAGTAGATAAAATATTTTCATTACGTTCTTCTATTTGCTCTAATTCTTTTTTCTGAACTTGCACTGACTTCTTTTCCGTCTCCTTGCTACCAAGACTTTTTGGTAATTCATCGTTTTCCTCTTCTGGTGATGTCGATGGTGTCCGCTTTGCACGTCTACGCGTTGACTTTCTGGTTGGCTTTTCAACTTCCTTTTCCGGAGTTCCCACTTTCGCTTTGTTCCTTTCACTCTTACGCCTCATATCTGAAACATCAAAGATATTGAAAATTTTACTCTGAACTGTTATTAATTTTAATCAGAATTTAGAATGCAAATGTAATAAGTACAATAAACATAATGCTATGCTAAACATTAACGTAAAGATTATACACAAACTTAAATAAAATTCAAGTAAAAGATATAAATTGATTATTTTTTGTCAATTCAGTGAAATTTCAATGTAAACTATAAATTCTCAAAAAAAGATATAAATTCTATTGAAAATTAAATTACCTAATATATAACGCATATCACGCGTATTTTAATCTTGCAATGCTGTTTTTAAAATACTTTGGACAGAATTAATATATAAACACTCTTGGTATTTGAGCCTAAAATAAATTGCATGCAACATATACCTTAGATATCTATTATTTGTTTTATTATCTTGAGTTTCTAGCAATTCTCAAATAAAATTTGTTTCTGTTTCAAATATTCTTGCTTTCTATAACAGTTTCATTATATTTGTTACATTTGAAAAGTTTTTACATATTACTTATGTATATAAGGTCATAAATAAAATAAAGTTTAAATCTCAAAATAAATACACGAATCATGATCTACATATTTGTAATAATTTATGTTTCAAATTATATCTTGTTAAAATTTTGGTAATTGCATGTAATGTTTCTTCTTCTTGATGTATGTACAAAATAATTAATGTTTATAAACAAGATAATACTACAGGTCCAAATTGATACAAATATTTAAAAAAATGATAGGCAAGGCAATTAAAAAGTCAGAAAAAATAAAAGATTGAAATAGCACAGCTAATTGTATACTCTATACTTTTTAATGATCATTTGAAATGTTTTACTAATTATTGAGTAGTTATACGAATACTCGATAATAACTACTTAAAATATTTCAATCAATGTTTTACTGCCCACAACGAATATATAAGCGATAATAAACAATATCTGATTGAAAACAATTGACTCAAATTAATATTTTCGTTAAATATTTACTAAGAAGTATCTAAAGCATATCCAAGTGTGATTTGTGGTTACCCAAGAAACGCGCGGGCGTTTCGTGATCTGAAAACTCTGGAATCTTACTTACTTAATAAATGTGGTTTGTGTGTCAACTAGAAGTTTAGCAAGTAAGCTGCGTCTTCTGGAAAGTTTATTAACACATAAATATTTTAATCGAAACGACGTTTCCAATGACGCTTTTAACAGTCAATCGGACCACCGTACTCCATTGAACACGAACGTCTTACATCGTATCAGATAGACATAGCCCCATGAAACCTGAACATTAGATACATTGGTTATATTTGTTTAGAAGCTCTGTCGCCACGTAAGTTAACTATAGAAAATCGTTTATGAAGTTCTTTCAGGTGCATTCATAATATAAGGATATAAAGCATAAAGCGTGTTCCCTCAGCAGTTCTGTTGAGCATTCCCACTTTCCGCCATATTAAAACAACGGTTGGATAATATTTTCTATTGGGAATTGAAAGTAACAATAAAAGACGATACATTTTCTATTGGTAAATTCGCTCGAGAAGAAATGAACGAGCCTATGCGAGCAAAGCTCCAATATAAAATTACATCAACTAACTGTACTTTTATGTTTGCTAACTTTATATTTTAAACTTAGCGGTTTTAATGCAACTACCCTATTGGTTGACAACCCAATATGAAGTATTTTAGGAAGTTATTTGGCTTATTGGGTAAGCTGGAAGCCGTGCGCAAGAACACACTTTATATCCTTACATCATGAACGCAACAATTGTGGTCTGTGAAAACGGGACCGCAGTTCAGTCATTTTAATCTATGTATATATATATATAGTTGTGATACAGTTTCTTACCTAGTAAATAAACAAATTTTTGGTAACTGTCAGTAACTAATTGTATGTACGATCGTTTGATTTGACATCTTTGCATGCATACTTACATATATACATAAATACATGTATGTATATTAATGTATATATATGCGATAATTTACTATTGTTAAATTATAAATTACAGTGTATTTTTATATTATATTCTATAATTTATATTCATAATTTAAATTTATTACCATCATGGTAATTAGCTGTTATGTTTGTAAGAAAAGGCAGAATGATAAAAATAGTGGGATATCATTTCATGTGTAAATATAAATATTAATAAAACAATACATTATTAATTATAATAACACATATGTAATGAATATAAAGAATATTGTATTTTTCAGGTTTCCGAAAGCAACAATGTTTCGATCTGCTTGGGAAAAAGCATGTAAATTAGAGGAACCTGCACCTAAAAGAGCTCGTGTATGTTCTGAACATTTTACACAAGATGATTTCATGCCAAAGAGAAAATATGGTGTAAGATTATTAAAGCGATCAGCAATACCATCTGCATTTGTATGGAATCAAGAAGCTAATTTAATAACAAATAGCAAGTAAGAGAAAAAGATTTTTTTTACGTATTGTATATAACATGCAAAAAATGTAATTACAGTAATTATAATAATAATATACTTTTATGTTTATTGTATTATAAAAATTGCATTTGTCATTAAGCAATGTAGAAGGAACTATCATCCATATTAAAACAAAACCAACTACATCGACCTCTACATTAAAACAGAATAAAGATTGTGCACTTGAAGTTGCATCTCCTTCATGGTATGGGTTTGTAATATTTTTGCAGAAATAATAATTCGTAATAGTCACCATTATTTGCTTCTACAATAATTCACTTATTACATAAATTATTTTAGTAAAACGATGATTTCACTTGATAAGGAATGTCATTCACCAAAGACACCATCCACCAGGGACATCGACATACAATGTAATTTATATTTGTCAGAAACATCATCAGTACAGTATGTTTTGTACTTTTAAAATTTAATTTAGCTGCATTTACTCGAAGAAGTACATGTTGTTTCTATAAATTATTTCACAGAAAATTACAAGAAATGGAGGCATCCAATATTTCTAATAAAATATGTAGTCCTGCTAGAATAGAAGATCTCACTCCAGAACATTTCTCAACGCCTCGACGTGCCTCACAAAACTTACAATTTATAAAACAGAAAACAGATGAAAAATTAATAAAAATAAAATGTCTACAAACTGAAAATATAAAGTTATTGAAACGGATTGCATCGTTACAGGATCTGATTTCATATTTGAGAAAGAATAATTTCATTTCCGAGAGTATAGCGCGTGGATTAATGGTGAATTGAGTTTTATGCGACGAAAAAGTGTTTAACAATTTTTATAGATTTTTACCGGTTTTTTCAATCTTTTTCAGGATTATTCAATGGATTCTACAATGAGTACTGGTGAAAAGATGCAGCAACAGGAAAAAATACAAGTTAAGTAAGTACAGAAGTATATAACAATATCAAAAATCATAAGAAGTTACAGCCAGCAGTTCCTATTATTGAAAACAGTAACTGTTTATGCTGGTCTTTCGTTAATATATTGTTTGTTTTAAATATTGGAATTTTAGTATAGGAAATTAATTATTAAAATATATCATTATAGGAATGGAAAAAAAAGATGTTGCGTAAGAGGATGTCCCAGCAAGGACATTAGGATGTTCACCTTCCCTTCATCTGAAACGAATAACAAGAGGATGCTACAATGGGTGGAAGCATGTGGTAGGCCAGATTTGTGGCTGCTTCCATTCGAAAAACTAAAGTTCCGCTCTGTTTGTTGCCTCCACTTTGAACAAAAATATTTCCTGAATAAGAAATTGTCAACATCTGCAGTTCCAACACGCCACTTACCAGGTAATAATAGTTATATAATTTTTATAGAATATGTAACTAATTTTGAATGAAAATATTTAATACATGCTATCAGGGCCTGCAACATTTAAAACAGAGCCATGGGTGGACAATGCATAACAAATTAAAGAAGAAAAAAGTAAGTTTTCAATTGTAACTATTGTCAACCATTAATATGGTATTAATACACTAAAAGTGTATATGATATTTTTAATATTAGGTGCATATATAATGTTATACAGGGTGTTCGGTAACTGGTGATACAAGCGAAAAGGGGGTGATTCTACATGAAAAAATAAGTCGAAAATATAGAATAAAAATTTGTCATGTGAGGCTTTGTTTTCGAGAAAATCGACTTTGAATTTTCGCCGGGTACACGTGTACTTGATCATTGTCTCGATTGATATTATCGCAGTTTAAGTTTGTTTCTATCGTAGCGGAAAATTAGGAACACGTAATGAAATAGGATGTTGAAGTAATCATAAAGTATATCATTATAGAAATTGCTGAAAATGTTGCCCATTCTGCCGAATACATAATTCTGCTCTTCTAATTAAATCTAATTAAACGCTTTCGAACGTATTCTGTTGTTTTAATGTATGAAAGGCTACAATAAGCTTTTCTTTTAATTGCTCGCAATTTATGATTTCTTCAAAATACACAATTAATTTAATATGACTCCATAAATATAAGTCAAGTGGAGTTAAGTTAGGAGAGCGTGGCGGCCAAGCTATTGTTCCAGCACGACCAGTCCAACCTTGGTAATGTTGGTTTAAAAAATCTCTCGGCGAAAATTCAAAGTCGATTTTCACGAAAACAAAGCTTCACATGAAAAATTTTTATTGTATATTTTCGACTAATTTTTTCATGTAGAATCACCTCCTTTTCGCTTGAACCGCCAGTTATCGAACACCCTGTATAATTTTGTTATTACTGACAGTACTTTTATTATTCAAATAAATTTGGAAGTAAGTATAGTGCACCGATGACAAGATGTCCCATGAGAAGCACGCATTTGCATTTGTCTCATGGGACATCTTGTCATCGATGCACTACTTACTTAGGTATATAAATTAATTGCTTAAATTACTTAAATTGATTGCGTGGACACTTTTCTTATGTATCCGAGGTCGTAGAATCATTTGACGGCCTCGGAAAAGCCCAGAAGTTCCTTATTTTGCAAAAAAAACACGGATCTTTCTATTTTGCTAGTTCCAGGGTTCGCAATCAGGTGGCGCAATATGCACTGTTTTCAGTGCCGAGATTTTTTTCGTAAAGAACATGTTAAAATTAAATTTTTACATTTTCAATTTATTAGCTTAATTACTTTACAAAAACTCTTGTTTTCAACACAAATTAAACCATTACAACTCTTTAATTTACAATCTAAACTTGAAAAAAAGAAGATAATATCATTACCGATGCGGATTAATTGTAAAAGAGCGGTGGTTTACAAAAAAGGATTAAATAAATAAAATCTTGAAAATTAAATGAACTACAAACAAATTCTTTAATTTACAATTGCAAATGTTTAAAATATTCATAAAAGAGGTTAAAAATTGTCAATTACAGTCATTGTTTACTGTAATTCGCATTTAGCCATTTGTTATTAAGAATATTAATGAAGCGCCTATATAATTATCTTTATTAAGGTTTAAACTTTAAATTCATATACCATAAGTGCCATTTTACGGTACTTTTATGTCATCAAATCAGCCGAAGAGATCCCATTCGGTACATGACGTTGTCGAATTTTTAAAAATTGACAGCGAAAGAAAAAATCATTAATAACTCCATTTTGACGAACAGTTTATGAACTTTTATGATTGATTCTTAATCTACATACTAAAATAAATATATTTACTATGTACAATTTCTGTGAATAATATATAAAAAACTTTCATTATTTCTTTTACAAACTCATCATTATGTACTTCGTTCCCCGTTTGTATCAATATTTTATGATATAGTAATTGAATGTATTAAGAAATTAATCAATAGCAAAAGAAACAGGCCAAGATTTTAAATCCTCTAAATCAACTAACACACAACTGTTTGTGTCTCAGAAAATTTTGAAACACATATCAACCTAACTATTTGTCCTTCCTCTGCTGTAGATGTATGCTCTATATTATCAAGACTATTTTCTTATGACAATGTAAAAGTAAAAAGCAAATAAAAATATTCTTACCTGTGAATAGTTTAGTATCGTTTAGTATTCATCGTATGAATAAGTTGGAATAGTGTCCAACCCAGTTGGAGCATAATGTTGCCAAATTAATGTAAATTCCAACCACGTTAATTCATAATATCACCAGCTACTTTCATAATATCTGTAATAGGTTGATCACTAGATCCAGCTACAATATAAGAGTTGATACTACCAATCCATGGATTAGTTGCTCCATAAAAGCTTTTAAACTTAAATTATATAAATATAACAAATTCGTTGTTTTATGACACACAGATGTTATATTACCTAGCACATCAGGGCAAAATGCAAGGATGAAGTGGCTGCTGAAGTATTGTATGACATGTTGGATCAAACTATCCAGGTATTAATATTACAGGGCAATTTTGCTCTACAAGACAAAGAAAATTGTCAAGTTTATGAGTTGCCATTGCAGTTTCTTTGAATACACTTTCCTCGTGTGTTTTAGTTTTAAAATATCCTTTATGATTATGAGTTTCCACAGATCCTCTTATGATATTTCCTAAGTTAATATGATTATTAATTACTTCAAATTGTTATTACACCTAATACAAACTAAATACCTGAGCTGAACTTTACTTTAGCGGACCCAAAATTTTGAACCCTTTTTTTTTAATCTATAGATTAATCAGTAGAATCTGAAAATGCAGTCTTAACTTTAGGAATCCAATGGTTAAAATGTTATAAGCGTGTAAAGTTTGGCATTTTTAGCGGATTTGTGACACCATATTACCTTATATGTATAATCTGATTGGTCCTCGCATAGCCTACAAGAATTAAACTTCCGCTTACCTTATTTAAAAATACATATATTGTTGCCGAATCGCCTCCATCATAGATCTCATGAGATTGATTTTGTTATGACGGCAAAATCGTCGCCACAGAAATTCATATAAGCGGGCAGCAAATTCGTCGTCGTGAAAACGACACCTTTCCTTTGCCGGTAGCGAATTTGATTCTATTTGCTGGGTATGGGCCACATTCTGCATCATTGACTGACTGTCGGCAAAGGATTGGATGCGGGGCGGGGAATAACCTGTCAAATACGCTAAAAACGCTCACTTTTACACACGTATAACTTCTGAACCGATGGATTCCGCGCCTTAAAACTAGAATTTTTAAAAAATAAAATATTTTTCAACCAAAAAAAATCCGACTTCGAAATGCACTAAAAAGTGTAAAATAATTTCTATATCATTTATACCAGTATTCCACAGCTATTAATAAAATCTACTTAATCGTTAAATAGGATACTAAATACATTTCAACCTTGTTAACATACTACATTGTCGGACTACCATTAATAATATTATCTAGTATAATTGTTCAAGATAATTTCGTGAATGACATTGTAGAAGATCTCAGGTTATATTTACCAATAACGATATAATTGACTCTCTTTTCCAACATTCTGTCCATAAGTCTTCTTTGACAAGATTTTTTCCAAACATTTTAATATCATTTCAGATTCGACTTAGCAATGGAATATTTCAATACAACTGTTCTATTCGTTTGAGACAAATTCAAGATTTATAAACACAATACAAGTGCTATAAAATAGATAAACTATTTATTTGAAATATGCTGGTATTACATTGTTTTTAAAATCTGTGACGTGCAAGACAATCTTATCTAATTTAATACTGCTCTTGCTTGAATAATATCTCCTCTGTATCTATTTAATACTTCTACTCCATAATATCTCTGTTGCAATTATCCCGTCAATGTCTGAACAGATGCTGAAAATATAGAAAAAGAAATCATATTATTATATATTAATACATTGTACTCAACAACATTAATTTGAAATAAAGGATGTATTGAAGAAAATAAGGTTTAATATTTCTTTTACCTTAAACATATTTTCAGATATATCCAGCGATATATCCACCGCAGGCGATAGCGATTCGTTTTGAACCGAATATTACATTCGCAGAGGTTCTTAAAAAGGTTAAGAGGGCGGTGGGCCCTGCCCCTGAGGGAGTGAAAGGGGTTAGAAAGACAAGAGCGGGTAATTTATTACTCGAATTCACCCCACGGGCTGATCTCGAGGTAATAAAAAAGTCTTTGGATGGGAAACTGGGTGACGAAGTCACGGTCACCAAGCTACAGGAAAGAGTAGACTTGGAGATTAGAAATATCGATCCCGACGTAGAAAGGGAGGAAGTAATAGAGGCAGTCGCGAATGCTACCGGTAACTCATTAAATGAGATTCGGATTAAGGTTTTCCGCATAGATCCAAGACAAAATAAAGTGGCGTTGATTGAAGGGCCGGCGACGCCCTTCAGGTCTCTGGCAAACAAAGGCCGGATAAAAATAGGATGGACGGTGGCTGCCATTAAAGAAATCCCACGAATAATAAGGTGCTATCGATGCCATGCCGTAGGGCACATTGCATTGAAATGCCCTGTAGTCTCTCTGGAAGGGGCGGGATTGTGCAGAAAATGTGGTGCACCCGGTCACGAGATGAAGGAATGCGATAAACCGCCACAATGCAGACTATGTCTTTTGAATGGCTACCCCGAAAATAAAGCGGACCATGTGGCGGCATCAACTCGTTGTCCTATTTATAAGGAGGCTGTGAGAAACAAAAATAAAATTCGTTAGGATAATGCAACTGAATATGAATCATTGTAGGACGGCGCACGATCTGCTCCTTGTTACGGTGAATGAACATGAAGTCGACGTTGTGGTAGTTGCAGAACCGTACAAAATACCTGACGGTTGGTTTTCCGATCCTTCTAACCGAGCAGCCATGTATGTCACATCCAGGGGATCGGCGAGATACCCGAACTGGGAGTATATAACAAGGGATAACGGCTGGGTGGTTATCAAGTATAACGGATACTTCATTTTTAGTGTATACGCGTCCCCGAATACGACACTTCAAGAATTTGAGGCGCTCCTTACAACGTTAGCGCCCGTGGTGGTCAACTACCGGGATATTGAAAAGGGTGTTATACTTACGGGAGATTTTAATGCAAAAGCACCCCTGTGGGGAGCCGACCGTTGGTGTGGTAGGGGGAAAATACTCCATCAATTTTTGATCGCCACTGAACTTCATCCGACTATTTCTAAGGGTGGAAATACGTGTGACAGGGGTGGTGGTTCAAAAATCGATATAATGATATGCGGGAAGCAAGGGATCCAATATCTTGTAAGTTCCGAAGTATTGAATAAATATTCAGCTTCGGATCATAGATACCTGTTACACACGTTGAACTCTGCAAAAAATCCGAGGGGGATAGATAAATCATTACTAGACCTGAAATGCAGTAAAATAGATGCAGATAAGTTCCTTAACCTATTTTTGAAAAAATATGGTGATGAACACTCCGATGTACTTACCCGGAGCAACACTATATTGGATGTGGACACATTCATCAAGGACATAAACTTGATACTGAAAAAGAGCACGGTTATGAGAATGAAGTGGGAAGGTAAAAACACCCCGGTTCCGTGGTGGACTGAAGAAGTTGCGGCCAAAAGGAAAGCAGCCGCAAAAGCTAGACGACGCTATACTAGAGTTAAGAAGAAAACGGACAATGAAGAAGCCAGGAAAGTATTACTGGAAGATTTTAAGGAGAGTAAAAGGGTGCTAAACCGAGAAATCAGGAAGGCCAAAAGAGAGTGCTGGGCATCCCTCCTACTCACTATAGACCGGGATACGTGGGGTAGGCCCTACAAGGCCGTCATGAAATCGGTTAAAGGTAAATCCGCTCCTGAAATCTTGGATGCCGAGGAAGTAAAAAGCGTAGTGGAAAAACTGTTCATCTTGCAACCAGAGGGAGATGCTGACACTATAATAAATGAACAAGGTGCACAGGTGAATGACGCACAGCGGATAGAAGACAATGTCATTACCGAAGAAGAAGTTCGTAAAGCAGCATCGAGGCTAGTACCGAAGAAAGCGCTGGGTCCCGATGGGATAACCCCGACCATGGCAAGGGTAATGGGCACGGAGGCTGTAAAATGGGTGACATACATTTTCAATGTTTGTTACTCCTGCGGTTACTGGCCAAGAGAGTGGAAGACGGGTAGGCTCGTCCTCTTACCTAAAGGTAAAACCCCGGCGGAGAGACCAGAGAAGGCATTTAGACCGTTATCTATAATCTCTTGCCTGGCTAAGATGTTGGAGTATATAATGAAAGAGAAGATAATAAAAGCTCTGACGGACTGTGACTTTGCCCCAAACCAACACGGTTTTCGAAAAGGGCACTCCACCTTGGATGCTATGAGGGAGATCATGAGACTCGGGAATAAAGCTAGAGAGGACGGGCAACATTGTTTGCTCATCATGTTGGATGTTAAGAACGCATTCAACACTGTCAGGTGGGATAGCATCATAAGACAGATGGAAAAGAGGAGATTTCCCACAGTCCTCATCAACATGACGAGAAGTTACTTGGCAGATCGCTGGATCATCTATGAAGGTACAGACGAACACTCGCGGTTCCAGGTGTTTGGGGGTGTTCCCCAAGGCTCGGTTATCGGCCCCCTACTCTGGAACCTGGTATATGATGAGCTCCTCTTGATGCGTACTAGAAAAAATATATACGTCATCGGATACGCGGATGACATTGGCATAATAGTTATCCACGAGAATATAAGGCTTCTCATCATGCGAGCCGAGCAGATTATTAGAAACATGGCTGCGTGGTATACATCAGAGGGTCTGTCATTGGCCCATCATAAAACCGAAGCCATTATGCTGACAGAAAGACAGATCCCTAACCCTCTCACTTTTAAGTGCGGAGACAGTAACATAACGGTCACAGGGGAGGCGAGATATCTCGGGCTGATTCTTGGAAAGAGACGGGGTTTTAGAAGCCATATCATCAATAGAGCACTGAAATATGCTAGTGTACTATCCCTGTTGATGCCTAATACGTATGGTGCAGGAAACCTTCCACGGAGGTTATACTACAGTGTTGTGGAGTCGGTCGTTATGTATGCTGCACCTATTTGGGGTAACAGTCTGGTATTGAAAGGCAACGTGGATTTAATAAATGGAACTCAACGTACTGCATTATTGAGGGTGGCCAGAGCATACTGCACCGTTTCTGCAGATGCTCTATGTGTTATTACGGGCCATATCCCGTTAGACCTACTTGTGGCTGAGAGGATGAGGCTCTTCGAAAGAAGAAACAACAATCCGAAAAGGGCTTTAAACGAAGAGGATAAAGAAGAGGAAAGGAAAAACACCGTGGAAAAGTGGCAGGAGAAGTGGGATTCCTCCCTGAAGGGTAGGTGGACCCACAGGTTGATCCCTAAGATAGGAGATTGGTATACCTGGGGCCCAGGACTGCTGGATTATTATCTAACCCAAGTCCTTACGGGTCATGGGTGTTTCGGCACGTTTCTGAAAAAGATTCATAAACAGGAATCTGCAAATTGTTGGTTTTGCCCTGGGAAAACGGACGACCCTGAACATACAATTTTTGACTGTGATCGCTGGGCCGCGGAAAGGCTTCAATTGAATATACAATTAGAAGAGGATCTCAGTATCAATAATTTTATTGCAACGATTAAAAACCCAGGCTACAGGTCTCATGTACTGCAATATATAGGCAAAGTGCTGAAGGGTAAAATAAACCACGAAAGATATGTCCTGGAAACGTTCAACCGGAGTACAAAAAAGAAGAAGAAAACTCAACTGGTAATGACGTAATACTAATTATGGTAAATTACAGACACAGGATAAGTAACCGGGGTGTACCCCCATTGTAGGCGACAGCCTGACTTGGTGATCCCTCCCTGAAGATATGCTTATTGCGGTTCCGGGGTTAGGGTGCGTTACAACACCACAGGCTCCTTTATGGCGAAATCGAGGTAGGGTTTTTAGTGGGTACACAAGGTGAGTACCTTGGAGTCCCACACTACCGGACGCACACCTGTCCGGCGTGCGCAAAGCATTTTCCCTCCTCGTTAAAAAAAAAAAAAAAAAAAAAAAAAAGATATATCCAGCGAGAAAGTAATTGCATCTGTTTTCAGAGTACGTTTTTGTTATTTGTCCTAGTATTTCATTCCACACTGTTTAATTTCTTTAATGGATCTATTCAACTTTCCTACTCCATAATTTTTTGGTTGTAATTTCCGAATCAATGTCCGAACAGGTGCTGAAAATATAGAAAAGGATATCATATTATTACATATTGATATATTGTAATTGACAACATTAATTTGAGATAATTCAATTTCCACATATTTTTCACTCTAACCTATACCTGTCAAACGTTACACATAACTATTTGACCTTAGTTATTTTATGAAACAAGCTTATTGTTCTTCCGCTTCATCGAATTAAGGTGATGAGAGCCGCTCAAATCAATTATAAGCTATGGAAATGGTAGATGTGAATAGAATTCACAGCGATAGTACTATACCTCTAATGCACAAAACGACTCACCAAATAATGTTAAATACATCCAACTTTTGATTTTGGCTGCAACTTAATTATTTACTGATAAGACTCTATTATATGCTCCTCTTACTGCGGTAAATAGATACATACTACTTTGCAATGAGAATGCTACGCATCATGTCATGCCGCATTGTCAAATACTTATTAATGAAACAAAACAAATTAGTACATTTGCATAACTATTCAATATTATTGTATCTTTTGTCCTATTTCAGGCAATACGTGGATGAATGATCCTCTGGCATCTTAATAACGACCTAGTAAATATTCCTCTACTCTAACCTACACCTGTCAAACGATGTACATAATTTATTCATCTTAGTTGTTTTATGAAACAAGCGTTTGCTACACACCATGCTAAGTCGGATTGTCAAAAACTGAACATCTCGTTTCTTAATAAATATTCTTAAAAATTCTTAACAAATATAAGAATGTTGTGCACAAGCCTCAATAAAAACTCCACATACAAATTAAATTCACTTCCAAATTTAATGTGTTTGACCATCTGCAGACTCCCAAAAGCAATGATTTTAAAATATATGGCGTCCAAATGGGACGACGTCCAAACGTGGCGATGCCACAGCCGACTCTAGTACTAGCCATGCTGAACAACGTGGCAACACCGCTCACGTGACAATCGAGAGTCCTATTTTCAAAAACAGAGTCCTGTGCTCGGAATTGTAATTAACGTCTTTTTTAATTAAAAGCTGTAGTAATATACACTATTTTGTGTTAATTATGTATAAACAATATATAAACGTTGCAACTATGGCAAATATAAGTGATGTGGTAGTATAAAATTGTTATAAATGTGATATATATTTTGTGTACTCTCAAAGTAGTTTGGTGTTGTGAAGCATGATATTTGAAATATTTACAGTGGTTTCAAGAAAATTTAGGTGTGAAGCAAAATGAAACCATCTTTGGATCAAATTGAAACATTTAAGAATTGATAAACGTGTATATAAGTTAATAAAAACCTTGAAACAAGCGAAATTATTGGAACGAAACCAAAGAGGTTATGTGAAGTCCAGAGAGTAGTCGGGAGTCTGACGACGTTGATTGGCTGAGAGTCCGGGAGTCCGGGAGGCAGATTGAGTAGGGTAGGTGTTGATATATTCAGACCGGACTCCCGCGGTGTTGCCATTTTTACTTCAGCACGGCTAGTACTAGAGTCGGCTGTGGCATCGCCCATCCCTAGGGGAACTACCCAAGTGTTCCGCTCACTTATTAATGAAACTTTGTCACCTTGTAGAGCTCGTCGCCCTGAACACGCCTATACCCCCTTTTGGGGTTGAACTTCGTTTTAGGGGACACAAAAATATGACTGTTTTTTTGTTGACTTTAATAGTGTCTCATATGCAAAATCCAAAAATGCAAGTTGTAATTGTCGAAATGCTGCGGTTTAGAAGTTACACGTATCTGAAATGAAGCGTTTTTAGCACATTTCGGAGGTTAGCATGACGCCATATTGCATTCATCCTCAATTTGATTGGCCCTCGCACGGACCACACTGTGATTTCCGCTTACCTTATTTGAAAACATACTGACTTCGAATCGCTTCAATCATAGATCCAAATAAATCTATTTTATGGTGACGACAAAACCGCCTCCACAAATATTCATATAAGCGGTCTGCAAATTCATCGTCGTGAAATCGCCCCTTTCCTCTCACCCAATCTTTTGCCGGCCGCCAAGTGGATTCAATTTTTTGTGTGTGAGTTCCATCAGTACCTGCAATTATATGTTTTGCAAAATTGATATGATATTATTAAGAAATAAACGCGTTGGCGGAGGAGGAGCTCCGCCCCTCCCCCTGCACCCCCTCCCCAAAATTATATAGTCCAACCTAACCGAATTCAAATGCATGTATAACAATAATGCAATTACGTATAGTCCACATAGAATTCACACTTACTCACAAACTCGATACTGTGATTCACTGTTTTATGTGCGAAGCCCTCTGCAGCTAGCCCCGCGTAACTTTTAAAACTGTCGGTGTGGATTTCGCTGCCCATAGCGACATGCTCTTTTATTATGGATATTAAAGTATTAGCTTCACGATTTTCGGCAACTATCATCCTGCAATCATTTGTCCGTGTGTCGACAATCCCCAGAACCCAGTGTCCTTTCACTACACGACCGCGATTGTATTTGCGCTTCCCGAACTTTGCTTCGTCAATCTTGAGTAACATCAGAATGACAAAATGAAAATCATTAAAATGGAAAAACTCAGCAATATGAAATTGTTAAGTACGATACCTGAACAACGATCGAAGAACCAGACTCCGAGATACCACCCAATTTCGGTTGACCCGCTTGAATTTTTATGAATTGGTCGGTTATCATTTCGCGACAATAATGATACCACGCCGTTATTGTCGAGGGCGACGTCGTGGTAGCTTCCTCCCCCAGCGCGAAATCGGTCAATTCGTGTGCCGTATAATCATACGAAAAATCTAGCGTGAAGCAGTAAATCAGTCTTTAAAAAATGAAACAATTTTCATAACAGTTTACAGCATGAATTATTTATTAGTTGAAATGCTGCAACTTACGTGATCGCTTTATCTAAAGGCAAGCGAATTTCGTCAAAAAATGAATCTACCGTGGCTGCGTATTGCTTGCATTTACGGCGCCCAGGATATGCTGGACACCGAAATCGACCAAGTCCATGTTCTGCTTCCTGGTACAATTTCATGGGCTTGCGGTGTTTAGGACACATCTTACTTGTGCGTAATAATCCTTGTTCTTGCGCCCAAGGAATTGCCTCTTCCTTTGAACTAGGCAAATTACGAAAGTTCCACCGTATAGATTGCATTGTTTGTTTACAAACAATAAACAAGTAAAACAAAACAAATAAAACAGAAAAGCAACAAAATAGCACAAGAAACACTTAAAAAACAATTAAACAAACAACAAAAAACTAACAAAACAGTCAAAAACAAGAAAAAAACGGCAAAAAATATAGCGAAAAACGTGGCACAAACAAACTCTTCAAACGCATTGGAAATTCTGAAACAATTCTTACCTGTAGGCTGCGAAACAATTGAAAAGATAAAAAGTGTAACATCTGCAAAACAAATGTACTAAAACATTTGACTTTGCCCGCTAAAATGGTCGTCATCCACGTGGTTCTGTCTGCTGCTAGCGACACCTTTCATTGGACAAGAAGCCAATATGGCGTCGCAGTAACGTAGCAAATGCACTAAAAGTGTCAAACTTTATACGCTCATAACTTTTAAACCGCTGCATTTCGACAGTTAAAACCTGCATTTTTGGATTCTACGCATCGAAAACTATTAGATTGAGAAGAAAAAAGTGGATAATTTTGTGTCCCCTAAAGTATAGTTCAGCCACATTTTAGGTCACTATAAGAGTTTTGTGACTCAAACGATGAGTTGAGCCCCCTGCATTGAACCTTCCTCTTTCGAATGAGCCCTTATTCAGCTCAAAATCTTGTCACATAAGGACGAGTAACCGATTCCCGTGAAACCATTCCCATAGACGAGTTCCGCCATTATCTGGATAATACAGAACAAGTCACGTGACAAATTTAGTTCAGCTAGTAGTTATAAGGTGGCGTTTAAGTAAAAAGGCTGCCGATTTGGAATCGTAGCCAGAATCAGGCGTTAGCTTGGTTACGTCACTCGACTGAAGGCAAGCGAAAACAAGCGAAAAAGGCAACAACGCCGAGTGAGACGCACTACAGTCATGTTGCCCTTCTCTCATTCTGAATGTTGAGATTGTCCCTTTTCGCTAGATTTTGACTGACGCCCGCCTGGATTTTTCACAGCACCCTATAACAAACCTCGCTCAAAGAGGAGGTATAACAAGAGAAGAATATACCTCCTCTTTGCAATAATTCTGCAAACGTTTATATAAGTTGTATACGGGATATTTATTTATTTAAATTATTTGCATTCACTCAGAATATTGCCTCCTTTATATTTTTTATTAGTTTCGTAAAAACAAAGTTACTATAGGTTTCTCAAAATACAAGCGTCACGCAATTGGAACGAGTTATATCTTAAATTTGGTAAGAGATAAGAAAAAACTATTGATGTAAAAGTTGAATGATAAGATATATGAAAAGTATGAGATATCTCACGAAATATTAGTTTTTTAAACATTGTACTGTTAGATATAGGCGCGTCAGCAAAATAGTGAGAGGGAATAGTAGCGAGGGAAAGGGAGAGAAGGAGCCGAGGCCTCTCCATTTATTAGTTCTAATATTATTTTTTTATGCAGAATGTTTCAAGGAGTTGATAAGAGTAAAGAAAAAAATGCAATTCTATTTAAATAAAAATTGCATCTGCATTTTTTTAGTGCATCGTTGCATTCACGAAGAAAATGAAGTCATAGAAAAATAAACATTATCATACCATTGAACTTTTACATGAACAGCTTTTTCCTATCTCTTACCAAATTCAAGATATAACTTGTCCCAATTGCGTGACGCACGCTGTATGCTTTTATGAATTAAAAAACATTTATTTAAAGAAGCTAATAACTTTTTCTAAAAAAATTCTCAGATTGCACGTTCCTTCGGTTCTTCAGAGTAGGCATATATTTTTCAGCAGCGAGGCGTGCTACGGTGCGCCATATAAAATCCACGCGTTCAGTCAGTCAGAATTTACCGGAGCGGAACAATTCTATCATTTAGGTTCAAAGAAGGATAGCATGATCACCGTACATCTCACTTTAAACACGCGTCAATGTTTCGATTTTGTTCTTCAGCCGTATTGTCGCGATGCATCTGGCGAGATGAGCGTTTGAATGTGTTTGTAAAAATACTTGAGGCGCTGTTGCCTTCCTAGATCGTATTGCGCGCACGCTAGCTGAGAATTAAACCTTTCAAATTCGTAACAGACCACGCAAGTGGCTCCACCAGGCCCAACGAAAAAACTGCTGTAATACCGACGTCTAAAATCGGAGAGGTCACGTGCCGTGTCTACCCCCTTAATTAAAGAAGTTAACCAAAATTTCTTGAAAATGAATTTTATAAGGGACACCCTATACATACGGAAACCCGATTTCTAAATTTCATGTAGATCAGTGACCAGGAACATTCGGAACTATAGCCATTCATAGAACTCCAAAAATATGCTTAAATAAAAAATAACTTTTTATGATTTGACCAAACACATCTCGGCAGTGAACTGCGGATGCGATGAATTGACGCGGCGGTGAATTGCTGCCGGGAATTGACACGGCGATGAACTTTCAGGATCCCCGACGAGATACTGTGGTACAAGCGACAAATGTTGCTGACATTTACTTTTACTCGGTGGATATATTCAACGGTCGTTTATGACGTCATAATTTACTGGCAGATACGCAACAACATTTATTTTCAATTGCTCTTTGTTAATAAATTTTTATTGATATATCTGACCATTGAATCTTATAAAACAAATCGGGAGCAATTTTTTGGTACCATAATATCTTTGTAAAAAGATCATTTACTATCTATTTTGCAGATAACAAATTTCTGCTTCTTTATTTGCGAATATCTCATTAAATATAATGTTTGCGACTGGAGCAATTTTAGATTCCGAGGGAGCAAATGGGGAGCAATTTTTTACGACATAAATTGTTAAGAAATATTAATATTCCACGCCAACTTTACTTCGGTCCCATAAGGATGGTAGTCTCTCGTCGGTGCCGGTATTGATACTGTATCGGTAAAGCAGAGAATAACATTACCGTTGTAATATTACAACAGCACTTCAAATATATTCGGTACTGTTGCACAATTTGATTGTCCAACAAATGGGCGGGGGCGGGCCTTCGCCCCTCCCTCTGCGGCCCCCGCCCCTTAAAATATAGCATAACCTAACCTATTTTGTTTTCGAGGTACGTCGGTAATGTAGGAAATAATATTAAAATAATAAAAAAATTTGTTTCAAATCGCCAGAACTCCTTCTCACTAACATTGTTTTTATGTCAAATGAAGCTATTTGCAAAATTTCAGCCAAATCGGACTTGACAGGTATTCGGAAAAGCAAGAAGAATATAGTAGCAGTGCACTCTGTACAATTTTACAGTAAAATATACCGCGTCAGTGAAAGTTACAACTCAATGGGTAATGAATAAATGTTAAATATTTAACCTTAAATGCACCGAACTATTTGATTATAAACAACATTTTAAACATTTTAAATAGTTTAAAAAATGAATAACGTTGAAATCGAAGACTTTTATCACCATGATTTTACTACAGCTTCTGAATGGGAAGTGTTTATAGCGAGATTAGAAGAAATTATGCACGAATGGAAGCTGCCCAATACAAAAATTGGTCGTTGTTTAAAATCTGGAGACTTTGTCAACTGTCAATGGGAAGAGAATTCGCAGAAGCTTCATTTTGCTGGTTTGTCTAACATTCATTCAAAATTGCGATCAGATATATTTAATACTAGCATATATTGTTTATAATTTATTGAATGCAAATAGATGCATTTTTGTATTTTAGATGCAGAATTTATATTGAAACACTTTAAATTGAAATTGGAAGATACAGATGTTCTTAATTCTACCAAAGAAAGTGAAGAAGAAAAGGTACAATGTCATAAAGATGCGCTAAATGCATCCAATGATTTTGCTAGAATTGATGGGAATCATTTGGAAATAGCTCGCTATTACAGTGTCAGGGAATTCCTTGTTTTGCAGTCTGTCAGAAAAGAATCTGTAACAGATGAAACAAAAATTAAAATTTTACTTAGTTCTCTTGCAATTGCTGCTACTAATGCTAATTGGTAATTGAGAAAACTGTTTGTTTGACAGTGCACATTAATACTATAATAATTTAAAAATTGTTATTCATTTTTAGCGATGTACCTACATTAGTGCAAGTGCAAGAACCATGGCAGAAAATGTATCTTGGTACTAGTATTGGGAAAGGGGTTTGTACCCATTTCAACATGGTACACTTGAAAAAGATACCTCCTCACTGCAAGTATCTCACTGGTACGAATATGGTTTATAAAACAAAAGTATAGAAGTAATTATTTTTAATCAAAAGTTAACAATATTGTATAACATTTGATTCATACAAGTACGTTACTTTTAGGATTACTTGCTCTATTTAAACAGAAAGTTGGAGAAGGTTGTGGAGTGAGACTCGATCCAGTAATGATATCTATAAGATTTTCGTATTTATTAAAAGATTGGACTAATAGCACTTGGACTCAAGAACCCCCAGATTTTGATTTTATGCAAGGAGAAACATTAGGTGTTGCTGAACTTGGGAAACTTCCATTTGGGGCAACATATGATCCGATTGCGTAAGACTATTACACTATAAAATGAAACATAATTAAGGTGGTTGAGTTAGTGAACTAACATAATTTATTGTTCCAGGGAGCTGCATTTATTTACGACATGGCCTGAAATGTCAGAAAACGTTGTAGTTGATAGCGAAGGTTTTACAGATCTGGAACCACAGTTAGCACCTGAATGGTCCGTTCAAGTGAAAATGGTTTCTTCGCCAGCCTGTTTACTTGGGGAATACTTAATGGACTTTTTGCATCTTTGCAACAATCAAAAAACTATGGTAGATCTGCTTGGGGATGCTGTGCTTTATGCCCAACAAGATGATCAATCGCTGAGTTCAGTTTTTAACATATTAACGGAATCTAAAATACCAACAATTTCAACAGTTGTTAGCAAAGCAACTACGAAAAAGAATAAGAATGTAGGAGGACCGATCCCAGAGGAAATATTATTGTCTATACTTTATTTTCTATTTCCTGATGCAGATGAAAATACGGTGAATAATATTATATATTTTAATACTCGGACAGTTTATAATTGTAGTAACTTTGTTTTGAAAAAAATATTAGTAATTTCAATTATTGAAATAATCCACTTTATTATCAGTGCCATTTCAAATCCATGAAAGCGCGGGAAAATATTCAAATTTAAAATAGTAATTAAGAAAGCATAATGTTAATGGTAGCTATTTTTGAAAATGTTTATTGCCTTTTTCATGTTTTATTACAAAAGTTACTACCATTTTTACAACTAATTGAATCTTTGTTCTCTTTTTTAATGTCTAGCTTTCGAAATCCTGCTAAAGTGTTTCTTTTTTAAATTATTACAATGATTTTTATTCATTTTGCATAAAATATTGAAATTTGAACGTGAATTATACCAAAAATTTTAGTGTCATAAGAAATTAAGAAAAACGAATGGAAGATTACTGTCAGTATTTTCTTTTTAAGAAAATTATTTAATGTTTCAGAAAGCTCCTTACGGTGATTTGACGATATGTAATGTGGATGAAGATCAGTGGAAAGGTGTGAAAACCTGTGTAATGGATAGCTTAGTGTGGCGGCTTGCTATTGTTGCAGCACACTGTACGCATAATCTTGGAGGAATGACAGCACTGGCACAATTGTGGTACGAGTTTGTACAAGAAATCAGGTTTCGATGGGAAAAGAACATCCTCATTCCAGGGTAAGTACTGCACGTTTTATTAGTTAATTGTATGGTAAAAAATAATTGGTCATTATGTGCTAACTATATAGTATAAATTTAAAAATGAAACATTGTCTTACAGTTTCTTCACTAATTTGAAATTTATTAGTACACGTGTTACATAATAATATTGTATGTATATTTATTTTCAATTTTTTCTTCTAATACTGAAACTTACAAAACAATTATCATTTAAAAATATACAAAATCATTCTATTTTTGGCAAAGAATTCTCATTGCCAAGACATATCACATGTAATGAAATACGTTTTATGTTAATATATTTCATAATAAACAATGTGTCTGTAAGCATGAATTATTGTAAACACAATGTAGACTTTAAGAGATACTTTTTTTATGATACAGTCTTTGGATAAAAGCACATCCATCATTCATACACGTTAATCTTGACCCGTTATTATGACTTCCGGTCATTTGAAGAGATCGTATGATCGAATTAATTGAGCTTTACTTTGTATGATTTAAGCACACAGAGTACATTTTTAAAACGTGCACCATTAAAACACTTTATATCAATCTTCTTAAAGCTAAACGTTTGTAACATTCTTTTTTTTCATACTGCTACGTTAATACATTTATTACATGGTAACAGTTGTAAAAACGTAGATTCAACCGATTACTCTTATAAATGCTAAACTATCTACTCTATATCTTCTAAAATGTCATGCTGTATAGTACATCTGTATGAATGAGAGAAGTTCAGATGTTCCAAAACAATGTCACTGAACACATTTGAGCAAAATTATACACACATAGTGTCAAATCAAAGGGGCATGAGACCAGTCCTTGTCGTTGGATTGCGTGCCATGTATATATCCATGTCGTGATCAGTCCAATTGTTTTCTTCGTAATTGTTGAGAGTGTGTGTTGAATCAGCTATGCTGTATCTGCTACTTGGCCGTGGTGGGTTTTGCTCCAAATTGCGACTACATGACCGTGGTCTCTGTCTTCTAGCTGAAGAATGAGATGGCATATGACTTGGCGAGAAGTTTGTTCGTGACATTCTGTCAGAAGCTCCGGCTAAAGACTGTCGAGATTGCCTTAATTCTGTATAGGAAACAAAAATATCAAGATAAATATTTACAAGAATATTAACCTCTTAATTTAATTATATTATAACAAGTGTATTTTGCCCGAGCATTCTTGGGCTTTTAAGTTAAGGGGGTAGACACGGCACGTGACCTCTCCGATTCGGGACGTCGCGTCGGTATTACAGCAGTTTTCTCGTTGGGCCTGGTGGAGCCACTTGCGTCTTTTGTTACGAACTTGAAAGGTTTAATTCTCAGCTAGCGTGCGCGCAACACGATCTAGGAAGGCAACAGCGTCTCAAGTATTTTTACAAACACATTCAAACGCTCATCTCGTCAGAGGCATCGCGACGATACCACAGCCGACTCTATTATAGTACTAGCCATGCTGAACAACGTGGCAACACCGCTCACGTGACAACCGGGAGTCCTATTTTCAAAAACAGAGTCCTGTGCTCGGAATTGTAATTAACGTCTTTTTTAATTAAAAGCTGTAGTAATATACACTATTTTGTGTTAATTATGTATAAACAATATATAAACGTTGCAACTATGGCAAATAGAAGTGATGTGGTAGTATAAAATTGTTATAAATGTGATATATATTTTGTGTACTCTCAAAGTAGTTTGGTGTTGTGAAGCATGATATTTGAAATATTTACAGTGGTTTCAAGAAAATTTAGATATGAAGCAAAATGAAACCATCTTTGGATCAAATTGAAACATTTAAGAATTGATGAACGTGTATATAAGTTAATAAAAACCTTGAAACAAGCGAAATTATTAGAACGAAACCAAAGAGGTTATGTGAAGTCCAGAGAGTAATCAGGAGTCTGACGACGTTGATTGGCTGAGAGTCTGGGAGTCCGGAAGGCAGATAGAGTAGGGTAGGTGTTGATATATTCAGACCGGACTTCCGCGGTGTTGCCATTTTTACTTCAGCACGGCTAATACTAGAGTCGGCTATGACGATACCCCTGAAGAACGAAAGCGAAACATTGGCGCGTGTTTAGAGTGAGATGTACGGTGATCGTGCTATCCTTCTTTCAACACAAATGATAGAATTGTCTCGCTCTGATAACTTCTGACTGACCAAACGCGTGGATTTTATATAGCGCACCGTAGCACCCTTCGCTGCTGAAAAATATATGCCTACTCTGAAGAACCGAAGGAACGTGCAATCTGAGAATTATTTTTAGAAAAAGTTATTAACTTCTTTAAATAAATGTTTTTTAATTAATAAAAGTATACAGGATACGTCATGCAATTGGGACGGCTGAACTTTTCTTCAGGGGCCCAAAAATTATGGCCTTTTTTTTTGTCTTCTTGAAGTATTTAACGAGTAGAATCTAAAAATCCTAGTTTTGAGGCGTGGAATCCATCGGTTCAGAAGTTATGCGTGTGTAAAACTGAACGTTTTTAGCGTATTTTACATGTTACTTCGACGTCATGAGCTAAAAATGCTCACTTTTACACATGTGTAACTTCTGAACCGATGGATTCCGCGCCTTAAAACTAGGATTTTTAGATTCTACTCGTTAAATACTTCAAAAAGATAGAAAAAAATGGCCATAATTTTTAGGCCCCTGAGGTAAAGTTTACCCCCAGACGTTACATACATATATTCAACCGAGGTGTCGAATCTCAGATTAAACGCGACGACCAGCCAAGCGTGAACGTAGAAAGGGACAGACAGTGGAGGAGAGAGAGAGGTCCAATGATCAAAGGAAAGAGCCGAAACGTATCGGTGTGACTAATACTAATTCAATTATAAAACTTTTTTATTTTTGACTTTTTTTTACTGAAACTTTTACTAGCGCATTGGTGAAATTTTTCTGATTAGAATGATACCAAACACGATATAGTTTGAATAGGGCGAGGTTTGTTATGGAGCGCTGTGAAAAATCCAGGCGGGCGGCAGTCAAAACTTAGCGAAAAGGGACAATTTGAACATTCAGAATGAGAGAAGGAGAGCATGACTGTAGTGCGTCTCACTCAGCGTTCGGGCGTTGTTGCCTTTTTCGCTTGCCTTCGCAGCACACTTCGAGTGACGTAATCAAGCTAACGCCTGATTCTGGCTACGATTTCAAATCGGCAGCCTTTCTACTTAGACGCCACCTTATAATTACTAGCTGAACTACATTTGTCACGTGACTTGCTCTGTATTATCCAGATAATGGCGGAACTCGTCTGTGGGAATGCAATCGTGATTTTTCGTTTTTCGTCCTTATATGAGAATATTTGTGGCTGGGTGAAGGCTCATTCGAAAGAGGAAGGTTCAGTGTAGCGCGCTCTGGTCATCGTTTGAGTCACAAAATTTTTTTAGTGATCTAAAAATACCTTGGATTATGCGGATGTATTTTCTCGATTTTTCCTCTACTTTGGACACTCATATTATTAGATATTAATAGAGCTTGCTGCATTGAACCTTCCTCTTTTGAATGAGCCCTCACTCAGCCTCAAATATTCTCATATAAGGACGAAAAACGAAAAATCCCGGACCCCTTTTTAGGCCTATTTTTGCCGGTAATGTCACTTCGCTGCATTACTCGTGTCTACTCCCTTAAGAGGTTAAGATTACTTGTTTCATAGATACCGACCTGATCTTGTATTAGCAAGATTAGACGACAACATGTTATTTCCAAAATATCTGGTTGAAGTGTTGGAGAAACTATGTTGCGATTGACCATCGACCACAGTTCTAGTTGACACCTTTCCACCATAGTGTCCAGTTTGAGATCTGACGTCATCAATGCAGGAAGCTCTAGTTATCGAACCTAGGAATGAATAACTCTAAAATATTAGATCATTTTAACAATCTTTCATTCCTTTGTGTGTCTTTCAACAGTTTGAATACCTATTTATATAGCTAGTGTAACAGTAAAATATTTAGGTTACGTACATTCTACAAGAATACCTTAAATGTCGTTTATACCTTGGCGATCTATAGGAAATATCCTTGGTCTTGGTATGCTTCTGTTGCTGTAAGCAGACACTTGGTCCCATTCTTTCTGTGCATTGTAAGCACTAAGAGTTGCCATTGAGGATAACGGCCCACCAGGGCTGGGCGTTGGACCAACATTAGAGCAACAGTTAACTGGTAATCCAGCAATCGGTCCACCCATTTTTGTCTGATCAATACTATGCAGAGTATGGAGTTTTCTGGCCCTTCGTCGGTTTGCCACAATGAATATTATAACTGCGACCACTATTGTAGCACATATAGCCGCACTGGCAGCGATGGTAATTTTATCCATGTTGGATGTGGGTGAATTTTCGGTCCTCACCTCTTTGCACTGATTGTAAGGTACATTTGCTGGAGTAATGTTGGTCTCTTCTAATGATACTACACAGACCACGATGCATTCCTATAATCAGCATTCGTATAAATAATTATGTGTACACTCTAGTGCAACGTAAATAGGTTTCTCTTAGTCAAGAGCAAGTGTAGATTAAGCTCTTTCCCTGAGTTCTCTCAAGACCATGCAATGAGAAAATGCTCCTTCTACGCTTATTCTTAGCCAAAGAAAACCTACGTTGCATCCAAGTGTATATTATAAAGGATCCGTGTAACTATTATTGTTTGAGGTTCTTTCTTGATAACGTATTTACCTGTGAAGGAACATTTTTAATTTTAAATTCTCGTTCACTGGCTTCAAGAGGTGGCGCCTGCTTGAAACTGTTATCCCCAAATAGTCTGTAAATCACTTTAAACCCTAAGATATTTGTCGCCTCAGTGTCCCAGTATATGCTCACAGCATTGTCTTGTCTAAGTACATCTTTGACTATGATGTTCTTTTCTGTTGATTTTGACTTGTAAAGCGGGGAACCAAGAACCAACGGTGGTCTTGGTTGATGTTGTTGCAAGTGGTCCTGAGAATGTTTAGATGGAGACGGTGTGGTCCTCATAATCACCACGTTTCCTGTTCT